GACTGATAATCTAATATTAATATCTTGAAATATAAATAATAAAATTTTTGTTACGTCTTAATATTGATTCTCTCCTTTATAAAATTTTACTAACACGTAAAAACTAGAGTGTTCTCAAAGTTTAAAATTGCTATAAGTCGTCTATTAATGTTTTGAAAATTTCTTTCCTGTATATTAATGGCTCAATATATCAATTCAACAAAAAAAATTGAAAATTTACTTATTTATTCTTTTTTCTTAAGATATGATAAAAAAATACATGTAATTGATTTAATATGTAGATTTAATGTATAGATGAACTTATACACGAGATGTAATAAGTCTTTCGTGCTAGGCTATCAATCTCCTATTATTGAGGAAGGATAGGATATATATTGACAATTATCCTCAAGAAGTAAAGCCATGCCATTGAAAATGAAAAAGGGTTGTCCAATAGATACAAATCCCTAATCCAAGTCCCACTGCAAGTAGTTGGAGATAATAATGTTTCAACTTTCAAGATTCAACCCAAATTGGCAAGAATTTCCTAGATATTATCCAATTGCAATAGATTGTTTTCAACTATTTTTGGACAAGTTCATCCCTCCAAGACTGACTTACTACATCTGGGTCAAGCAGAATAAAATGCCTTTTGGTAATTTGCTTTGTTCTTGCTAGCTTATTTTTGTCTTGTTTGAAAAAGACTATTCTATTACCCTCCTTTCAATAGTCATTAACTTTTCCTTGATAAAACACCACTCAAACAAAAATGTTCCTATTTGGCTTCTAAATCTTTTTATTTTACTATAATAAGGAATATAACAACTAGAATACAGATTTCTGTAAAGAAATTGAAAAAGGTTATTAAATTTCCATATATTAAATCAATTTGAGGATCACATGACTGAATCCTCCAATAATTTGGATAGGTTTTGCTAGTGGAGGAATGAAGGAACCTAATCTCTCTTATCATGAAATTTTGTCCTTCAAAAAAAAAAAAAAAAAATTGGATGGACCAATCAAACTGCACCATGTAATTATACAGAACATTTCCTGTCTTCCTCTAGAAGAACAGGGGCTGCCCAATCTATGTGGAATCTTTATTAGTTTAGCCCAATTGAGATGGGAGATAGGACATCCACTATTAAAGCATATGAAATGCGAATGGGCATATAGGTGGCAACGAGTATTTACAGAGTTGATCACTATAGTTTAAGTAATGAATTTAATTTTCTGCAATATAAACTCTTTTTCAGGCCAATCCCTTTATCGCCAATGAGCATGGATCTCGTGCAAGAATATATAAAGGCACCAATCCCTTTATAATCGCCAATGAGCATGATCTCGTGCAAGATAATATAAATTATATATATAATATATATATATATGAAGCATTTGAATCCTAAGATCAACATTTTATTTTGTTTTTGGTTTTTTTGTTTTTTTGGTTTTTTTTTTTTTTTTTTTTATGTGCCTGTGACCGGATAGGAATCTTTGCTTTTTGTTTTTTGTTTTTTTTTTTTTTTTATGTGCCTTGACCGGTAGGAATCTTTGCTTGCCCGTTGATAAGGGAACTTTGAAATCTGCTTTGCATTTTATCTTTTTACCAAATGAAGTATAGAATTGAAAGGAGTTGTATGTGTGAATATATACCCTTGGAAGTTGGAACTACACGGTTATTGTAAGTGGCAGATTCAAGACAATAAAAAATTGATGAATTTATTAAATTGTATCCATTCAAATTCTAATATTATCCTTTCAAAATCAAAAGTAAAATTTATAGAAATGGTGTTTTTATGAAAAATATTAAAAATTAAAAATATTAAAAATCCAGACGTACATTTAAATTATTCCAACGTATAAATATTAAAAATTACAACTTATAATAATAAATAACTCAGAGATATTGTTCCATAAAAAAAAAAAGAAGAAAATATACTTTATTACTGTTCTGTCACACACTCAAAGAAAAGAGTGAAAAATAGCACACGATTTAGCCATTTCTAGACATTACAATCTTTAGTATTTAAATGAGATATACAAAACCACAAGAAATGGAACATATTGCTTTATCGCGGTGGAATTGCATTTTCACGGAGAAAGGGACAAAGATGAAAGAACAATGAACATGGCACATAGGTCCGTCCAACCTCTCTATTCAGTGTCTTTGTCAATCGTGCTTCTTCTTACTTTTTCTCTTTACACTTACCTACCACTTTCCTCTATCTCCTGTCTATCTATGACTTTACCTAACTCAACCCTAATAAATGATAATTATATCATTCCTCAATTTAATTTTGATTTGCAATTAATATTTCTAATTTTGTTCAAAAAAAGTACATTACTTCCAGTATAAAAAAAAATAAAAAATACATCTCACTGGGAGTTCTTTTCTTCTTAGTGGGCTTTAAAAAGGCTGAAGATGCTTGTCTGATTAATTAAAAAAAGAAAAAAGAAAAAAATTTTGACAATACCCAAAATAGGTTTGAAGTAGATTGGCATAAGTGACAAATGAAGAACAAGAGCCTAAACCTTTTATAGATATGGCCCAATTAATAAAGATGGAAGACCCGAAAGTTAAAAGTTTTTCTACGAAAATGCTGCACTGGAAGGGGGAAAATTTCATTTTGCCTCCTGAACTTTGATTTGTTATTGATTGAGTATTTTTATTTTAATTTTAGTTTCCAATCATTTGATTCTAGACAAAATTATTATAAATATGGGTAAGTTACAGATATTTTTAACCCAAAAAAAATAGATCATGAAAATTTTACTGTGATATCTCAATCATAAAAATATAATAAAATAAAAAATCTTAAAAATACTATTATCACATGCTATTGATTTATGAATTTTTAAAATAAAGATTTAGAGATTTGATCGATCTAAGATCAAGAAAGAGAATTGAATGGTCTAAGTCAAGGTATAAAATTTCTTGAAGAGAAGGACAAGTTACTCGGTGAACATTATTATTATTTTTATAATTATAATAGCATCGGTCGTGGTCGCTGTTACAAAAACGAAGTTTATTATTAAATTAAAATGTATGGACAAAATTTTTGCCTGCTTTGGTGGTTGTATTCCAGTCCACAAAATCACATCTTAGATAGTTATATTGTCCTCTGGAAAAATGCCACGTGTCCCTTGACGGACTGTTTGTCCAATCCACAATAAAAAAGTATATATTATATGTAAGTTATAAATATTAAATAGCAAATGGTGGTGGGGTTGTTGGATGCTGCCCATCACCATTAGAGTAAAGCTTCAGCTAAAACGAAAGACATTGATGCGAAATGAACCATATCAATTTTGTGGAAAGTAAAACAAAGTCTATTTTTATTTTTCTTTTTTCATGATTAAATATTTATATTTTAAAGTAAAATTCGTAAATTTTGTTTTGTTTTCTTGTTCATGAGTAAAGTTATTATAATCTAAAAATGTAAATAGCTATCATTTGGCATTTTATGCGTGTCATGCAAAATGAAATTATTGACAATAATTTATTCATGGACTTTAAGACGTTTATTTTCATTTATACAATCAAATTTCTCTTTTAGTTTTATATATATGCAATAAGAAAATGATTCTCTTGTATTTTCTCATTTAAATATTATTTTATTATAACCTAAAATAACATTTCGGTGGTGGTTGCCTTTATTTCGTGTTTCGTAATATGAGTTGTGATTGCTATCCAACCAACATGATGATATCCCGCTTGACAATAAATTCACGTTACTGGACTTGACAAAATTTTTTATTATAATGAATGCATATCCATATTATTGGTAAAACATATCTAAAATAACTTAAATAATTTAATATGTATTTTAGTAGTATATTTTTTAATTTTTCATCAATTATATTTATAATGATATATCTGAATATGTTTATAACCGTGAAGCATGTTGAACGTGCCATTAAAAAAAAAATGAAAAAAATATTTACTATCCTTGACACGTTGGACATTCACTTGTTGACGTTGGGTAATCAAATTAATTTTTTAAACCTGATTTTTAATTACTGTGTAACCTTTTTCATTTTAATATAATATTGCTTTGATGACATCAATGTCTACATAGATTTCAAGGAGTGTAGTTTTTTTAATTTCCATATCTAAAGGGGGCTGGCAGTAAAAACTTACACAGTTTCAACGAATCAAATAAAAGCACATTAAAGAATAAGCTAAAGTTCTCTCTCTCTTTTTTTTTTTTTTTTTTTTTTTACGAGAGAGATCAAAATAAAAGACATTAAAGATAAGCTAAAGTTCTCCTCTCTCTTTTTTTTTTTTTTTTTTTTTTTTAATCCAGCAATAAAAGTAATATCACAAGTTTTTTTTTTTTTTTTTTTTTTTTTAATTCAGCAATAAAGTAATATCACAAGATTTAGTACAGTTAGTAAAAATATTTATTTTTTATCTTTTATTATAATTGATTTTCAACATTATTAATTGTAATTTTTTTTAAAATTTAATATGAATATATTATATTTAACAAGTGAAAAAGAACATATAATATCAATTAAACATGATTTGATTGATTTTTTTATTTTTGGATTTGAAACTCCCAATGGATTAAAAAAAAAAAAACATGTGATGCAACTTTATTGTCTTAAAAGTTTTTCTTTGGTAAAATGGATGCTGTGGAAGGGCAATTATGCCATGTGAATAGCTTCCACGTTTATCTGAATGTGAAAGATTAATAAAAAATTCACAAAAAAAGGTCGTCCTAACATTACCCCCACTTCATCGTGCTTTGACTTTAAAGAAAACCCACTAGCTTAGTGGTGGTCACACTTACATGCTAATTGGATAAATTCCATTTACCTACCGATTTCACCATCATACCCATACGATCATCGGTGCAAAATGGACCGTCACTGCCAATCCTGAACACCCCCTGTCACTCTTTCATTTTTTTTTTAAATAACTAAATAACTTTTGTCGCAATCAATAAACGAATAAATAAATAATATTAATCACTTTATCTAATAGGGTAAGATGGGCCCAATAGACGAAACAGAGCTCTGGTTGGGCTTTAAAACAAATATAAAATGAGGATTGTCGGTGGATTCGTTGATTTTTGATAGTCTGCTAAGCCAAGCTAAATCCAAAGGCAAAGTCGAAGCCTATTTGGAAATTGCATCGAATCCTCCGTGACTATCACCAAAAGCTTATCTCCGTAGGAAAGCTTCAGCTTTATTTCTCATCCAGACGAAGAGAAAAGCTGTGACCTGTGACTTCTATCTACAAAGAGAGAGAGAGAGAGATTTCATATTTATAAAATGAACGGCGGCGACGCGTACGGTGTTGTGGAGGCGCAGTACATACGGAGACACCATAGGCACCAGGCCCGAGAGAATCAGTGCACGTCTGCTCTTGTTAAACACATGAAAGCTCCTGTTAATCTCGTGAGCTTTCAGCTTTCTTTGGGTTCATCAAATACTACTAGTTTTTTGTTTGTTGGTTTGTTCGATTTATCATTTTTTGTTGGTTGACTTTTTGGTTCTTTGTGAATCTAAACTATCCAGATCCGTCTCGTTCTATTATTTTACTTATTTATCTTCTTCTTCTCACCGGTTTGGCCTTTTAATTTACTGATTTTGATTTGTATAACTGTGATTTTGAGTTACTGGTCTTTAGATTTGTTAAGATTCGAGTTTAAATGATTTTTCTGAGATAAGATTTTGTATAAACGGGAATTTTTGTTACTATTTTGATTGTTTATAAATTATTTGGACCAGGTATGGTCACTTGTGAGGCGATTCGATCAGCCACAGAAGTACAAACCATTTGTGAGTAGGTGCGTTGTCAATGGAGAAGGCGGGGGGCTTGGGATTGGAAGTGTCAGGGAAGTGAATGTCAAATCTGGACTCCCTGCTACGACAAGCACTGAGATGCTTGAACTCCTTGATGATAAGGAACACATTCTTGGAATCAAGATTGTTGGTGGTGATCACAGGCTAAGGGTATATATTCTATATCACTTTTTTTAAAAAAATTTATTTATAATTTTTTTTAAAGATTCTCTTGCTATATATATGTTGTGTTTGTCTGAGAATTAGAGAGAAGCAAAATTGATATGTTCTTCAACATTTTATGTTTTTTCTCATGGATTAACTAGTTAGATCACTTTATCATTCAATTCTACATGACTGAATGTTTTGCTGTTTTTTCTGCATTTGATGAAGTGTTTAGTATTTCCTTTTTCCATTGGTGTTCGCCCACTGGAGATTGTGCTGAATCACCCTCTTATGAACTTTTATTTATTTTTCATTGATGTTTAATGGGTTGTTTCTTAGCAATCTCAACTCCATCAAGTGAATGATTGTCCTTACCTTCCAGTTATCTTTGTTAAATTTGGAAAGCAATTAGATGAGTGTATGAAACTTCATATGGTATGAAATGGAATCTATTGATTTCTGATCTTGCAGTGCTTGCATGTTTTGAGTTTAAAGGATTCTTTTTTCGCTGGAACAGACAATATTCTATTGCTTTTCTCTCACTCGTTTATGTTCTTATTAGGTTATTTTAATATGGGGCCTTGATATCACTAGTGTGTAGTGTAGTTTAGCATGACATTGCACATGGGATTAAAGTTGGTTGTCATCTTTTTTATCTTTATGCTAGCTTACAAGCGACTTGTGAATTTTTCTCGCCCCTTAAATTTTAATTGAGTGGTGGAATGCTTTCTGGTGGAATAATATCACACCAGTATGCTTGTGGGGATTTTGTTTTTTGCAATCTTCGAAAAACATTTTTTTTTTTCCAAGTAGGCGATCCACTTGTCTGCAAGAACAACTTTTGCTTGGTATGGACATAATTTATTCTCTGAGTAGGTGCATGTGCATTGGCATTTGGAATCTGTTGATAAAATTAATCTTTATGCACTGTGATATACTTGGTTAAAATTTTAAGATATTGAGATTTTGTGTTATCTTGTGTATAAAATAACTAAATTACCTCATGTACTGCGCTTTTTTCTCTCTCTCTCTCTCTCTCTCACTCTTTTAATTTCCTCAATTGTCTTGATTTTACAGAACTACTCCTCAGTTATGACTGTCCATCCAGAGGTTATTGATGGAAGGCCAGGGACGTTAGTCATAGAGTCATTTATTGTGGATGTACCTGATGGCAACACCAAAGATGATACATGCTATTTCGTGCAGGCCCTCATTAAATGCAATCTCAAATCTTTGGCTGATGTCTGCGAGAGGATGGCTGTGCAGGACAGGGTTGAACCAATTGACCGATTCTGAACTGTGTGCAATGAAGCGTATTAGGATGGCTGTGGAATTTGAGGTTCTAATTCCAGAGGCTTTGTAGAGAGATTGGTGGGAGTAGTTTTCCTATTTCCAGAAAGTTTTGCATGCAGTGCTGGATTTCCCTTTTTCACCTGATAAATAACCTTTCTACCTGCTTTGGCTTTGTTTGCTTGGTCCCTCAACATTGAAGGTGGGGTTTCTCCTGTTTTAGCAATTAGGTTCTTAGACAATTTTCCTTGAACTTCCTATGAATGTGAAAGAATCACTTCTTTTTCACCGTTGCTTTTACTAGTTTTATTGTGGTATGTAAATTACTATGCTCATATCTGTAAATATCTTTGTAACAAAGTTGTTGCTTTATCAAAGTTGCAACTTCCACGTGCAGGGATTTCTGGCTAAAAACTTCCAAGTAGCAGCATTTTGTTGTTTTTAATTACTGGTGTCTCTTTCTCAGCGAACTAATTATATTTAAAATGCTTCCCCTTGAACAGATTTTATGTGTGCTTCCAATTATCCGTTCAAGCATTCAAGAACAAAAATTGCTGTAATTCCAACTGTTGCATTTGCCCCTTTTAGATTAATTTATGCCTATAAATTTAGCTAAATAAGTACGCCAAAAACAGACGGACAGGCAGGCCCAGGGTACGTTAGGGAAAAGACAAGTCGCATGGAATCTGGTAAGTGTGAGGTGTCTAGAAATCTTACCGGTGTGAGACAATGACATTTTTTCTATCCTGGATGGAAAACATGATGTGTAATGATAAGTTCGAAACTGAAGGAGATGGTGACAATTTTTTTTTTGAGTCTGACAAATAATTATTTAGTTTACAGTAACTTCAACCATTTATTCGAGTTAAATAGATTTTATTGAATTGATATTTTTCAAGGGTTTGAAATTGAACAAATGTGCAAGTACAATGGGAGAGGTACCGAGAAAAGCTGCTGCTTCTTCTAGATTCGATTGAATTGAGTGTTACATAGTTTCATACAGACGTGAAGGTTTTGAGGCGTTGCAGGTTTCGGTCTTGGCTTAAAGTGAAACCAAAGAATTGATTAAATCTAGAACATCTTTCTTGCTTCTGCACTTTGTAGATTTTAAATGGGCTTAAGGTCACCGAACTCGGGACTTCAGGGTTTACGAAATGATAGATCGTCCCTTTGGGATTTTAAATCAAACAAACGACTACCGGCTACTTGTGCAAGTGACAGAAATTTTAAAACCACTGGTCGTTTTTATTCAATTTGAGAACTCTTTAAACGTGTAATGGAACGACCAGCCGAGCATTTCACAGGCAAGCTTTTCCAATTATCAAACAAGGAACGGCAAAATATTCTGGTTAGTTCCTTCCGACTTTTCTCCTCCTCGACATCGAGCACGGACATAACAGTCTGCAATTTTCCAACCCCTCTTACAGTCTTTCTTTTCTGTGTTAGTGTAGTGAGTTTTTTTTTTTTTTTTTTTTTTTTTTTTTTTTTTTTTTTTTTTTTTTTTTTTTTTTTTTTTTTTTTTTTTTTTTTTTTTAAAATTGTCATGGTAGAATCGATATGATTTACTCCTCCTTGCTAATTTCTGCTTGCTTTCAAATCAGGTATTGATTATGTTTAAGAAGAAAAGGAAAATATGTGTATAGTCATTTTATGTGTAACCAAATTGGCCCAAATGCTTATTACCGAAGTCATTGCATAGAACCACTTCCAGCTTTTGAAATGATTTGAAATTTTTTTTTTTTTTTTTTTTTTTTTTTTTTTTTTTTTTTTTTTTTTTTTAAATTGTGTCATGGTAGAATCGATATGATTACTCCTCCTGCTAATTCTGCTTGCTCAAATCAGGTATTGATTATTGTTTAAGAAGAAAAGGAAAAATATGGTGTATAGTCATTTTATGTGTAACAAATGGCCAAATGCTATTACCAGAAGTCATTGCAAGAACACTTTCCAGCTTTGAAATGATGAAACCGAGCACCATCTTTGAGGAAAATCTCAACTCTCCGCGCCAGCGAAATGAATTTTGCTGCTGTATGGCAATCAGAACAAATTCTTGAATTCTTTATCACTCTGATTGGCGCACCATTTCTTGTCTTGATGAGTCCGTAAGTAATGGCCAGTTTTTCCGTGTGACTTAGAAGAGCCTTCTCCTTTTCTTCATCATCAATGTTCTGATATACACAGTTAATGTCAGGCACATACCCAAGTTTTTTCATTTCAGAAACTAAGTGGTACAACTCAAAATATATCTCCCCTTCATCTTGATGGGGTTTTCCCTCAGCAGAGAACACATGAACAGTGTTCCCAATTTGTATCCAGCTCCATACTTGCCGATTTTTCACCCCTTTTTCGCACATGAGACTTGTGATACGCTCTACTCCCTCCCACCTCTTTGACATGGCATGTAAGTTCATCAGAAGAACATAATTAGCAGAATTATATGGTTCTAACTTGAAAAGTTCCTTAGCTGCTATATCTGCAAACTCCAAGTTTGCATGGATTCTGCAGGATCCAAGAAAAGCACCCCAGATAGTTGCATCTGGCTTAAATGGCATTGTTTGAATGAAATCCCAGGCTTCATCGAGATAGCCGGCTCTTCCAAGAAGATCTACCATACACGAGTAATGCTCAATTGTTGGCTTTATACCATAATCTTTGCTCATACTATCGAAGTAATTCCATCCTTCATCAACTAGACCTGAATTCTTGCATGCAGATAGCACCGCAGTGAAGGTTATAGAATCTGGTAAGATACCTGCTCCGAGAATTTCACGAAAAAGTGAAATTGCCTCCCTTCCAAGGCCATAAATAGCGAATCCCATGACCATGCAATTCCAACATGCTAATGTTCTGTTCTTAGTCCGCCTGAAAACTTCAATGGCACTCTTTAAGTCGCCTGACTTACTATACATGTCAATGAGGGCCGTGGCTGTATATACATCTTCAATGAACCCACGTTTTGCACTGAAGCAGTGAATTTCTTTACCTTTCTGTAAGAGAGAAAGCCCTCCACAGCTTCTGAGTAAGCTAGATACAGTGGCAGAATTTGGCTTAACTCTATCTTGTTGCATTTGGACGAAATACTCTAAGGATTCCCTGTATTTACCCTTCTGCGAGCAGCCTGATATGAGAGCAGTCCATGAAACTACATTTGGAGTTAATCCTGAATTTCTGATATCATGAATCACGGCCAAAGCTTCCTCACTGTGACCCCACATTGAGTACCCAGAGATTAGGCCATTCCATGTAACTAAATCTGGTATGATTCCTTCCTCTTCCATATTACTCAACAGTCTTTTAGCATCATCAAAAAGGCCCTTGTATGCATATCCTGTAATTAACGAGTTCCAAGCGATGATATTCTTGTTCTTCATATTATCGAAAATTGCCTGAGAAATTGTTAAACAGTTATTCTTCAAATACATGTCTAACAACGAAGTTCCAACATATACATCATAGTCAAGTCCATTTCTCATCACATAGCCATGGATTTCTTTTCCGAATTTCAAGAGCCTCAATTCAGCGACAGCTTGAAGAACACTCGTAACAGAACCTGAATTTGGTCTAAAACCAGCAACTTGCAGTTTGCGTAATATTGTGAGGACTTCATTATACGAACCATGGACAACATGGCCTGATAATAGGCAATTCCAGGTTATTATGTCAGGTTTTACACTAGATGATTCCATCTTACGGAAAAGATTCCAAGCATCATTTAAGTAACCTAGTGCAGAATAGCTTGTTATAATTGAATTCCAAGAAGACAAGTTGTGATCTTTCATTGAATCAAAAACTTTTCTAGCTGGTTTAATTTTGCCATTTCTTGAGTACATGCTAATCAAGGAATTGCATATCGATAAGGTTGATTCCAAAGCAAGTTTTATAACATACCCATGAATCTGCTTCCCTTCATTGAGGGCTCTCTCCTTTCCACAGGCTTGTAGCATCTTCACAAGTGTAATACCATTGGCTTTTGCAGATGAAAATTGCATTTCTGTAAACAGTTCTAGAGCCTTAAAATATCTATCATTTTTGAGGTTGACAATAATCGTCTCGTTCCACAAGAGATCATCCCGATTTGGCATTTCATAAAATACATGATTGGCACTGTCAACACTCCAACATTTATCATAATAATTCAATAGTGCAATCTTAACATATGTATCCAATTCGAAGCCTCTTTTGATCAGAGTAGAATGGACTTCCAAACCTAGCCACATATCCCTTCCTCTAGTGCAAATTTTCAAAATAACAGTAAACATCCTACTATCAAAGATTACTCCTTTATAATGTAATTCTTTAAAAACCTGGAGAAGTTCAATTAGATCACCACCATAACTCTCAAAATCCTCCAAGAAAGAATTCCACATAGTATAATTCCTTGCAAAACCTACAAAGAATACCATTACAGCGGACCTAAAATCACCAACTTCCAAATAAGAAGTGATCAAAGTTTTCACCTTGGAATCAGATTTCCAATTGTTGCACTTCTTTATTATCTGCGCATGCATTGCTTTAACTGAAGCTGGAGATCTGACATCACTTATACTATCTAAGAATCGAATATTTGGAAAATGGATCTGCGATTGAGGTGATGGTGAGATAAAGGGTGGAGTGGTTTCAGACGAAGTAGAAGTGGGGGTGACTGAAAGAGAAGCTGGTGAATGGGTTCTTGGTTTATGCTTGTGGGTTAGCCGGTTTTGGTTCAGTGGAGGGTTATGGTGGCGATGATACGGAGAGAGCTTGTCCATGGCGATTGAAGTTAATGTCGCGGAAGTGATGAAAGAGGAAAGAGCCGTTAAAACTGTTAATACAGAATGGAACACGGACATTGACGCTTGGATATCTTTATTTTTGTTGATAAGATCTTCTTATCTTCTTACACGTTGGATTTTGGAGCCCGCCAGCTAAACGCACCGTATCAGTTGTTCCAGAGTTCAAAACGACGGAAAGTTTTTTCCCCCAAATTTAATGGTAAGGAAACGTTACCCAATCGTACTGACGGGAAAGCTCTCCGTCGTCTATAACCGGCTTAGGAGTATTCATAATTTCATAGACTCCCGAAACTGTTCACATTGTAAATTCAAATCAATCCAAGCCGATACAAATCATGATTTTAAAAAATTGTTCAATTGATTATTTTGAAAATAAAATTATCAAATTTAATTATTATAAGTTTCATTTATGTAAATCTGTTGAATTTAACTAAATCGAACTATGAGCACTCTGCCATGAATTTTAGAGTCGCATCAACTATCCCATCGGTTGTTGAGTCAAATCACAAACCATAGAACCAAGAAGTAGGAACCCTCTATTACTCACTTCTCTTCGATTTCCATGTATGAAGATTGTCAATAGTAGAGGTATTTAAGAAATTTCCCGTCTAAGCGATTTCAGTTGATCTAAAACCACAATTTTGAAAAATTGATAATTTAATTTGATTTAGACAACATAAACAATTAGAAATCAACGTCCTATAATTCCATCATCTAATCTTACATCCTCAAATGTCTTGTTGGATCATTGTAGACAATTCGACAGGTAATTGGCATATTGATAACTGAATCTATTGTCTAACAAATAATAACTAGATGAATGACTGTAATTCACAAATAATTTATTCCTTCTACAAATTAATTTTTCGATGAAACAATTCTCTTTTTAAAATTAAAAAATGATGAATTGGTTTTTCAAAAAAAAAAAAAAAAAGCATAAATAATCCTATTTACTTGCCCTTCAACAATACAGCTTGCAGCATTTTTTTTTTTCTTTTTTTTGAGAGAGGGATAGGCAATAATGTTGAAGTTGAAGATAATCATGACAACTATTATCCACTCTCCCTCTAGACCTCGAGCCTGGGATTTTACCACAGATGGCTTGAAGCCTTGAGGGAGAGTGAACAATGGCTGCCACTCTCCGGTCCTTTGTTAGCAAGACATAGTCAGTTCAACCCCAAAGGCTCCCAGATTGCTTCAAAGCTAACCCTACAAGAAACGGCAAATCGGAAGCCCTTGAGGGAGGTGAAAAACCAAGACCTTGAAGATCTAAAGTAGAACTATGCCTTCTTGTAATTCTGATTCAATCAAGCAAGAGCTAAAGGCCTATTTATAGGCCTCAAAAGCCTCACTTTGCTAAAGGACCCTAACCAGTCTTAAAATTGTGTGGTTGTGTTTGTGAGAGAGTGAGCTAGGAATGGTGGGACCTCCATACCTCTGGCACTTGATAAGACCGGCATAAAATATATCCTACAGGCATCCCAACCATGTCCACAGAGGTGTTCCAAACTCAAATGGATGTAAAGAATCAGACACAAGCCATTGCAATATCTCATCAAGTCCAATCAAGAACAATTCCTAATTCCAATATCCAGCAGAACATATCAGCTATTGATTCTCAGATTAATGTATATCATAAATAATTCTAGGAATCAGATTCACTGTGTAATAGAACAAACAGCATTGGACTCAAAGGGCATCAGAGAAATGAAGGAAAGAAGTCTCTATCCAGCGACAGAAAGAATCTTTTTATGATTTCATATCATCATTAAAGTTTTGAAAGGGAAATTAAATTATGCATTTGTTAATAGTCTTTATACAAACACAGCACATAATGAAGCATTCATCCGCTAAAATCATCATCCAAGCTCGCTTTCAGCAACATTGAGAGCGGATCACATTCTAGTAGCATTTGCAGATGATCCGGCAAGACAATTCGTTCATAACAAAGGAAATGGTCTATTATGTTTCAGAATGGACGTGAAATTCTTAATAGCATTTAATGTGAACCTTCATTCGATAAATATGAATTGATAAACAGCGTGCCCTGCAAAGAATTGATCAGAGAGGGAAAAAAAAGTGAGCAAGAGTTGCCTTTAGTTCATTTAATAAAACCAGCAACGATGTTGGCAATGAAAAACCTTTATGTGATTGTGTCTCAGGGTGCCTATGGAGTGTCTTGCCTTTCATTAGAAAGTTTGACAATTCCATCCATGTCTACATTTGCAACAATTTCCTAAATACATTGTTCACAAACATGTGTTGAGGCCTTACAATATTGCAGGATGCTATAGTTAAGTAGTCAAGTACATCTTTCTCCCCTGAAAATCTATCTATTATGACCACCGGCCTAACGGTAGGCAACCTCTTGGAGCTATATCTTTGGACTAGGATAGGGCCCTCAATGCGTAAAGCAGATTTGCATCTCATTCACCAACGTTCTCTTGGCCGGCCATCTGGAAAAGCAGGTTCTGGCACCTTCTCTTCATTCTTTGTTGACTTATCTGAGTGGTTAATTGATTTGCTCAGATGAATTTTCACATTTTCGTCAAAATCTGGAGGTGTATCATCATCTTCATCACTCCAATCGTCTTCATAGTCATTACCATCATCATCGTCGTCGTCATCAAGTCCATCGCCAGCCATGTAACTGTCAATATCAGACCAATCTTCAACCTCCTCACCACTTCCATCTTCTAGCTCATCAGTACCATTTTCTCTCTCAGCACCCCTGCTGGGAGCACCGTTGCTGGGAGCACCCCGCCTTGGAAATCTAGGAACATTAACAAGAGCACGAAACTTCTCTTTGATAAGTAACAGGCGGTCTTTGTCAACCAAATGAGAATCACGATATGCTTCCCTGAGGAAAACTGAATCCCTATCACCCTTCAAGGACACGTAGAACATATCAGGGTGCCTTATTAGCATCCCCCTCACCTGCTGAGAGAATCTGAACTCCTCTCGAAAATGAGTAAGGTGATCCACAAGGGTTCGCTTCTCAACAGTGAGACTCAAAATCTCATGCACAACCCCACAAGCATGTTTTTCCTTCTCCGGTGTACCTGACCTCAAATGGGAAAAATCTGAATAAGGAGATATGTAAGGCATATCTCTGAACTTAGAAATATTTCTCATTTCACTCTTAGAAAGCTGTAAACCCTTGGGCAACTTCACCCTATTGAATTTTGGTGGTCTATCAATGATGAGATCTCTTTCTTCCAGTTCTCTAGCTCTGTTCTCCTCTTCTGATAATTCAGCAGCAGATACTGCAAGCTCAGGATCCCAATGAGTTAATTCTAGTGCAGGCCCCCTTTCAGTTGCAACAACTCTAAAATATTGTGGGTATCTATGACATATTGTGTCACGAAACTCTGTTGGTAATCCAAAGTCCGTCTTCAAATGGGCTATTTTCTCCAACAAAATCCGTTTCTCCAATGACATCATCAATAATTTTCTTAGCTTAACAACCAGCAAATCTTCCATCTCATTCCTAACTTTCAACTCCTCAAGGTAGAGTCTTTCTGCCTCAGGTGTCAGTTTGAATTTCAATGAAAAAGCCCCTTCTTGCACAATATCAAACACAGCAGGGAATTTCTTCAACAAAGCAATAAATCGACGCTGTTTCTTAACACCCAATTCTCTTCTGAACCTACCCAATTGCCTAAGTTCCATAATTCTATCAGGTTGATTCACAAGAATCTTCCTTATCTTCAATACTAATTTAAGCTTCTTGTCCCTTTGAATCACGTTATCAAAGGGAAGTTCTTTTCGTCTCTTCACAACAGCTCTCACTGGTTGAAAAGGGACATGGGTTTTTCTCAGGGTTCTACCAAAGGGACCAATTTTCTCTTGAAAAACCAAACTTTTGCCCCAGAAGTGTGACCGTTCTATTGTCGAATTAGATAAATGGGATTTAACTGAGAAGTTGGGTCTCTCAAGAAACTTAGAATTGTATGAGACGAAGAAAGGTAAAGAATTAAATGGTAAGGCATTGGAAGAGGACAGCAAAAATTTGAGTTCCATGTTGAAGGACTAGAAATGGATAAAGATTACAGTTGTAGTAATACAGGCAACCAAGTAATAGAATCTAACAGAGAGTTGTAAGAGAAATAAAAAAAGAAGAACAACTACCTGATTTGAGGTGGATGCTGAGGCTGGTGGTAGGGTTTTGGATGGGCGACCTGATTCTGGGTTTACCTGAAAGGGCAAAAACCCTTTGGCACAGATATTTTGCCTGTCTCTGATTCTTCTCACTTGAATACTTTCGTGGGACTTGATGTTAAGAAACGTAGGGCTAGAACTGTCATAATGAAAGAATGATACGGGAGCGTTTCTTTTTGCACTAATGCAAATGACGGGTATTTACGCATTTCTGAGATGTCCACAAGATGCACGACCTGTCGTTCATCAGCATGTCACGCACTATATGGGCCTCACTGGCTTAGTGGGTTTTACGTACTTTTCTAAAGGAGTCCGCAGCCAGCACCAATCACCATCGATCGTTCGAAACGCGTCATTGGCTCTAGTTGAGCCATAACGTCAGAGTCGTTTAAGTAACTATGCAGGACGAACTTGCCTTTTGAATGTTGACTAGCTGAAAGTGGCATGTCGTTTGATTGAAACCTCAGCATCTGATATCCTCTCCTCCTGTTAGGAAAAAAATCCTTTCGCCTGATTGACTGATTTGGCAGGCTTTGATTTGAGGATTGCTGTACTGCCGCTGGCGCCGTCCTCTCTTTATTTTCCTCAACGGAAATAACTCGTTAACTCAGCAGTGACTCGGCAGCAGTACAAATGGCGAAGAGGCGAAACCGCCGAGGGGTACAGAGTTCCGATCGCAGTCAAGCACACGTCGACATATCCACTCAAGTGGACCAGTTCGGTGAGTCAGCAGCTTCTGATCGCAAGCTCTTCACCATTTTCGTCGTCTTCTTCATCGTAATTCCTGCTCTCTCCGTACTCGTATATCGTATCAAATACGCTCCAAATACGTACAGTATGAATACACATACACACCAACAAAGCCTCGTTAAAATTGATGTGAATTACCAAGAAATCCTCAGTGTAAGAATTTCTTTCCTTAGTCACTACAATACTGTGTTAAGATTGGACCTTGACGGTCAAATTCGTCCTTAAAAGCAAAACGTTTCAGTTTCTGAAATATTTCAGGAGAATTCAAAGGTTTCAAAGAATGAAGCACAGCGGCAGTATAATTTTCCTACATTAGCATACATTACTCCATGGTAAGTCTTCTCTAATTGAAGCTTAATTAATTGCAAAATGCAGTATAAAACTCTGTAGTTACATGCGTTGATGACGATGAGGCATGAATTATACTAAACTGTGTAGGAATTCTAAGGGCTATGAAATGGCAAAGAAGTTTACCAATAAGTTTACCCACTTATCACCTGTCTGGTATGATTTGAAGAGGTAAGTTTTGGGGTACCTAATTGTTCATGAAATTTGTGTCAAATTTGAAGCTAGCAACTGACAAATTATGAACTGCTTTATTCTTTGTGTGTCCAGCCAAGGTAATGGCTTAGTTCTGGATGGAAGACATAATGCTGATCAAGGATGGCTCTCGGCGCTCAGAAGGAAAGGAGATTCTCTGGTAAGGCTATGTAGTTCTCTTCTTTGTTACGGGAAGTAGTTAGTTAGATTGCGGCTTTGGTAAGTACGTGAAGCAAATGCTGCCGAATTGTATGGAAACATTTTATCTTGTAAGGAAGTTTCTAATACTTGGACTCGGTCTTTGATAACTTTGGAGTAAAGCTTCCGAAATTAAGGGTTTAGACGTCAAAGCCAGTGAAGAATTTGTTTGCACCTTGAATGGCATTGGTGGGGTTGCTCATGGGGCTTTCTTTTTTCATCCTAATAATTGGAATGTTGTCTTATTTCATTATTTATCTTGTATAAATCTATAGATTTCTTATAATGTCGAATTAGCTTTTTGGTTGTAGGTTTTACCTAGAATCGTTCTGGAAGCATTTCCAATGGAGATACTTACGAGGAAGAAACTGAAAGATAAAGCTATTCAGCTTATAGTATCAGAGTGCATGTAAGCTCCCACATATTTCATGTTATTACTGTTGAAACAAGACCATGTCGTAGGACTATTATTCATCAGGTAGATGTTAGAATATCATACTTAGGTTTTTGTAACTATACGCTAAACACGTCTTGTTTACTTTATTTATCTTTGTCTAGCTTTCATATGAAGTTTATGATAATCGAAAACAAATTTACCATTTATTGTGATATATTTATGGGAGGAGGAAGTGAAGTTTGTGCAATTTCCTTGCCCACAGACACACTGACGCAGGACTAACAAATGAAAAATACCAAGTAATACAACTCTAGGAATTGGACTGTAACTCTTATTTTACAGTACTGCATATTTTGGTTTAAAATTCAGATTAATATTTGATCCTTCTACCTTGGTGTCAGGATAGTTCGGTTCCTCAAAACTATCCCTCTTTTTTCTTTTTTCTTTTTTTTTTTTTTAAAAAAGAAAACTTTTGCTGCTCAAACTATCCCTCTTGTAGCAGGGTTCTCCATAATTGGTCTTCTTTCCTAAAACTAGTATTGGTCAATCTTGCATAACAATAAACTAAGTTCTTGAATCAGGACGCCTACAGGCTGGTGTGGAATAATCATTGAAGGTGTTTCAATTTTATTCAATAAAGGCTCTCATCTCAATGTTGTCTAATTTACGTCATGAACTGACATTATCAACTCGTCTATATTATGAACCTTCAATGTTAGAACTTTCTGGAGTCTCTGCTTTTTCTAGTCCAGGTTTCTGGTCTTGCATATGAGTCTTTGCTTTTTTATTCTCCTTTATGAGTAGGGAAATGGAATATGATGGCATTGTGCTGGAGTCCTGGTCCAGGTGGGCAGCTTATGGTGTTTTGCTTGATCCAGATATGCGGAATAAGGTAATTATTGACTTCTATTTGCTACCATGATGATAATATATTTCTGCGAGGATCTAAATTTCATAATGTTAAATATAAACTGGAGACCTTTTATTTAGTTAGCCGCTATATTATGAATTGTAGGTCTTATTTGTAAATTGAGATGATAAATGAAAAGCAGTTCTCTTTATAATGTACTGGACTCTCTGGTTTTTATGCTTGATACATGGTCTAAAGGTTAATATATCCAAGGTAGCTGCCCAGACATGTAAAATTTTCCCCTTCATATATGCTAGTGTGTGATATCCAGGTGTTCACTAGAAGATGGAGATATGAAAATTGTCTGTACTTTTAAAAATTGTGGTTTTTACGAAATCTTATTGGTTTGCAAGCGTAGGCCCTGCAGTTCATAAAACAACTTGGTTATGCACTGCACTCTGTGATCTCTGCAAGGAACAATGACCAACCTTTACAGTTGGTGTACGTTATAGGTCCACCACAATTGGAGAAGCGTCAAGTACATGACTTTGGTCCCAAGGATCTTCAAAGCTTGAATGACGCTGTAGATGGTTTCTCACTTATGACCTATGACTTCTCAAGTCCTCATAATCCTGGTCCAAATGCACCTTTGAAGTGGATCAGATTCACCTTGCAACTGCTTCTTGGTGACACTGGCAGTAGTGCCCGGACCCTAGCCAATAAGATATTTGTTGGCATCAACTTCTACGGAAATGATTTCCTCCTTTCTCGAGGTACTTTTTGGAGTTTGTTCTTGAATCTTTGTTATGCCCATTAATAGCCTGTTGGTGATTCACCTGGAGAAACCTGAGTCTGACTTCCATAAGTTTGGACAAGAGAGCAATAAGCATTTAACTGGTGACCCAATCAGGGTGATTTCAATTTTAAAATTATAAAATTAACCTTTGATACTTTCGAGTAAATATTTTCACTTCAAGATCTCCAGTTTGATCACTATTGGCATTCAAAAGCAATTTTTAAATTGGTCATAGACCCTGCAGGTTCTGGTGGTGGAGCTATCATTGGGAGGGATTACCTCTATCTACTGGAGAAGCAGAGGCCTAATTTGGAATGGGAGAAAGACAGCGGGGAGCATTTTTTCCTATACGTTGATGACGAGGATAAAAAGCATGCAGTGTTCTACCCATCGCTAATGTCAATTTATCTGCGGTTAGAGGAAGCTCGTTTATGGGGAACTGGTATCTCAGTTTGGGAAATTGGGCAAGGTCTGGATTACTTTTTTGATCTATTGTGAGCAGCAATGCTTTTTTCGTCAAGGAAAAGAAGGAACCTTTTATTTTATTCATTCATTTACATTTGCTTTTGCATATGCATGTACTGTAGGAATTTTTTATCTTCTTCAAGTGTCAAATATTTTGGTAAGTTCAGATTCAGTTGATGGACTTTGTTGGCCAGCGGCCAAGATCTCCACTCTATGCAATTCTTGGTTTGGTGGTTCATTTTCAACTGTTGCTTGACCATATATTTGATTCTAGAGGGATACTATTAACAGGCTTTTTTTTTTTAAAAAAAAAAAAAAAAAATTGTCGTCAAGGAAAAGAAGGAAACCCTTTTATTTTATTCATTCATTTACATTTGCTTTTGCATATGCATGTACTTAGGATTTTTTTATCCTTCTTCAAGTGTTCAAAATATTTGGTAAGTTCAGATTTCAGTGGATGGACTTTGTGGCCAGCGGCCAGATCTCCACTCTATGCAATTCTTGGTTTGGGTGGTTCATTTTCAACTGTTGCTTTGACCATATATTTTGATTTCTAGAGGGATTTCTATTAACAGGCTTTTTTTTTTTAAAAAAAAAAAAAAAAAAAATTTGGAACTGAAATATTCATAGTTTTAATGGCTTATTTTTTTTTTTAAAAAAAAAAAAAAAAAATTGGAACTGAATATTCATAGTTTAATGGCTTATAATCAATCTATGATTTTTCTCTGATACACAACTATGTTTGATGCGGATGCGGTAGCCTGCATGCTACTGTGCCTGATATGCTAGCCTAAATTTATGATTGTTAACAGCCGATCTCCAGTCTTCCATTAGATTGTAAGAGCCGCTTCTAATGGTGTGTTCTAGGCTTCCGTGTCGGGGAATTTCCGATGAATTCTAAAACCGGTAATTAAATCTTATAACTTAAAAACAATGGTTTTCCATCAATTCAGTATCAGCAAATTAATGGTGAATGATTTATTTATGTATTTTTGGTTTGTTCGTTATGATGATCAGAACTTCAGAATTTTATTTCATCGACTAGCAAGTGGACATTTGGTACTGCGAAATTGTGGATTTATGTACTATAGCCTCAGAAGAGTTTGGTTGCATTTCTCAGCCACACAATCTTCACACGCGTAAGTGATCAAGCCATCTAAAACCCAGATGATCACCGACTCTCATCCACTTCCACGTGTCAAACAATGAGTGGAAAACTTAATAATCTCCCCTGCCACGTCAACTCCTCCCTCCACTAAAAGTATACCAGTAAATTACACTCATTGAAGCTAAGGGTTGTCATCCTCTGCTTCCTTTCAGTCCAGTCATCCTAAAACCAACAAAAATCTGCAATAAAATCTCATTCCTCATGTAGGTTCAAGCCTTTGCACAATTTCTTTCATAAGAAAGGCCAAAATTTTGTCTGTGTTAGTATTATGCCATGGAGGCCCTCAATGCAGCAAACTTGACCCCAATATCTGTTCTTTGTGAAAAAAGAGCAGAACCCAGAAAATTTTTGTGCCTTCCTACCACTTCACCACTCAAATTTTCAAGCTCTGCTTCTATAAGCACAAACCCACCTACAATACAAGAGTGTTTATCAAGGACTTTTCATGGGAGTCTAGTGCTCTTATCTTCAGTTCTCAGTACTGGGCTAGCTAAAGCTTTAACATACGAGGAAGCACTAGAACAGTCATTGAGCAGTCCTACATCAGATTTTGATTCCAGTGGAGTTCTTGATAGTGTTATCAGTTTTGCAACTGAAAACCCTACCATTATAGCTGGTAGTGTTGCAGTTTTGGCAGTTCCATTGATTGTATCTCAAATTCTAAAGAAACCCAAGTCATGGGGTGTTGAGTCTGCGAAAAAGGCTTATGCAGTATTGGGTGATGATGCAAATGCTCAATTACTTGATATTAGAGCGCCAGTGGAGTTCAGGAAAGTGGGTACTCCCGATATCAGAGGTTTCAAAAAGAAGCCTGTGTCAATTTTTTACCAGGGTGAGGATAAGCCAGGTTTCTTGAAGAAGCTGTCTTTGAAGTTCAAGGAACCGGAGAATACTACATTATTCATTCTCGATAAGTAAGATTCTGAAACCATTTGTTGTTTTCTGTTATTCAGATTTCATTTCACGATCACAAGTTAGTTAGGGAGAGCTTTTATAGAAATTTTAAATTAGACCATTAGATTGTGCTTCATGAAATTTATCTCTTGATGCACTGATTTCAGGATTATATCAAGAATTGGATATCCGTAATAATAAAATTAGTGTATTTAAAAGATTTTGGCTTTCTTTCTTTTGTTTTTTATCTTTTCAAGGATTATAACTGTTGCCTTGACGACAGAAATAATTGCAGAATAGAAAAAATTTGGAGGTTTAAAATATTCAACCAACTATTCAGACACCATTACGTAATATAAGATTAGACTGCATAATCTTTGGGGGGCTGAGAGAGGTTGACACATGAAAACTTTTTTTATCTTGTAGCCCTCTATTTCTTTTTCTCTTTTGCGTGTATGTATGACCGCGCCACATACCAGTATTTGTGGCGATGCAGATATGAAAAAAGTTCCCTTTATGATTTCCTCACATAGAAAAAAATATCTAATTAGAGTTTCTGCTTGGTTGTTTGTGATTAAAGTTACCATATTAAACTATTGTAGCAAAATTTATGATGAAAGCCAGATTTGATGGGAACTCTGAACTGGTTGCTGAGTTGGCTGCTGTAAATGGATTTAAAGCTGCTTATGCCATAAAAGACGGAGCAGAAGGACCCCGAGGATGGCTGGTACTTTCTGGTGTTTTATTTCTGTTCTTTTTTCTTTTTTTTTTTTTTTTTTAAGTTTCTTTATTTCTTTTTTTTTTTTTTTTTAATATTTTGGTGTTTTTTTTTTTTTTTTTTTTTAATATTTTGGTGTCCAAGTTCATTTGTCATTTGACATGAGAAGCAAATAGTAACTTTCAGATGGACTTTCATTTTGCAGAATAGTAGTCTTCCTTGGATACCACCAAGTAAGGGATTGAGTCTGGACCTTAGCAATTTCTCACTTGGAGTATGTGCCTTAATGCCTTCTCTATTTATCTTTTGGCTGTAAAATTTTAACTTTGTTACGCCAGTTAATGCCTTCTCTATTTATCTTTTGCCATCAAAATGATAAATGATATTTATATATGTTGATACAATAAACATTAAACAGCATCGAATGTGGTTTATGGAGTATTAAAAAAAAAACCCGATGTGTGCATTTGATCTTTTCTGGTGATAGGACCTTCCTTATGTTGATTATATCAACATGAAAATGTCAATATAAATGAGCAGTAAAAAAGATTGGGGCGGACGGGGGAGTGCTTAAATAACTTGATTGGACCACTACATACGAGATGCCAAACGTAGATTCATTGTAAAGACCAACGTTCATCCTCAAAAAAAAGAAAAAAAAAAAAAAAGGTTTGGCGGATTTGCTTCAAGCTAGAGGAATGATAAAGGCAATGGAATGCCTCTGAGGATGTCACTTTCATGTCTGTATAATCAACATAATGAAGGTCCTGTAATGAGAGACAAATGTGATTATTATCTTCTTGTTTTAGTGTAAAATCCGGAGTAGCTAGATCAAGCAATATATCTTCTAGAGGAATGTATTAATTCCCTGTTGAATTCCTGGGCTCCTTAGTTTTTCCATCAAATCAATATGAGATGAAGCATAACTGTTAATAAATCATTATACATAGTTACTGCAAAGCATCAGGAACTGTCATTTTGAAGATCTTCTTTAGTATAACAACAACAACAACAAAGCCTAAATCCAAAACTAGTTGGGTCAGCTATATAAATCCTTATTTTTATCAATATTTGCTAAAAGTATATGATAATTTAGTTATACAACTGGTAAATTACTTGTACTGGATTTCTTTCTTTCTTTTGTTCCTTTATAGGAGATACATTGATTTTGTAGATTGGCCACCTTCCGTGGAACATTTTATAATTGATAGCTTCTGTATGCTAATACAGAAAAATTTTTGCAGGACGACTCTGGCACGCTGCCTGTCGCTGTTGGGATAGCAGCAGCTGTTGGCTTAGGTGTATTAGCATTCTCAGAGGTTGGCTTGTAAAGTATTTTCTTCATTTCTTTTCTTATGATCAATGAAGGGAATTTGTGATAGTAGATGCAAGATTTCAGTTTTTTCTACATGTTTCCAGATAGAAACAATACTTCAAGTATTAGGCTCGGCGGCAATTGTCCAGTTTGCAAGTAAGAAACTCCTGTTTGCAGAGGTAGGTCTTTGGCACCTTTCTGAACTCTAGTTATTTCCGTAAGTTCTGTTGCCTTGAAGAAAATTGTCATGTAACATACAGTTCTGAAGCCCGGTTGGATTGGAATTGAACTTTTTTCATCGAATGTGCGCTAGGTTGTGTTAAATTTTAGTGGCTAACTCAAAAGCTCGTCCTCACAGACACTGACAGGATATATGCCTCGAAATACATTCTGCAGTCTGTACCTAACAGTTGTACTCACCGTGACATGAACATATAATGCGCTCCTAGAATATAAAACAGGTTCTTTTTGAAAAACCATTCTGAAATAAATAAATAAATAAGTATACCACCTCTTTGTTGATGATAAAAAATTATTATACCTGAAATAGCATCTGAATATAGATTTTTCCCTATACTCCGGATTCTAAATCTTTGTTTATTAAATCACAAAGGTACATTTTCACCATGATCTTTTACCTTTCATGACAGGACCGTAAGCAAACTCTTCAACAAGTTGATGAATTCCTGAACACCAAGGTGGCCCCAAAAGAGCTTGCTGATGAGATAAAGGTACTTAAACCCAATATTTAAAACTTAGATAGTCTTTTATGTATTGAAACGGTAAGCCAAAATGGTGATCTTCTTTTGAATGAGATGGCATTGCTTATTGACCACGACCGTTACATCGTCCTCTTTTTTTTCCTTTGTTTGTGTAAAAATTACATTCAGCAAATTGGAAAGGCTCTCCTACCAGCCGCTGTGACAAGCAAGGCTCTTCCTCCTCCAGTAGAAACAAGTTCAGCACCTAATACTGCACCTGCCGTAGATACCAATGTACAAAATGCAGAAGCTTCTGCTGCCGATAGTACGGTACAAAAGGCAGAAGCTGCTGTGGAGCCAGCTCCCCAAATAAATTCAGTGAAAGCAGAATCAGTTTCTGCATTTCCAAGGCCACTTTCACCTTATCCATCTGTAATTCTCCTTTTCAACATTTCATATTTCATCAACTTTTCTAAGTTTCTATCATTTTCCGTCTGTTTTAAGCACTGAATGAAAATGTGCCTTTTCTGCAATGTAGTATCCAGATCTGAAGCCTCCAACATCTCCTACTCCGTCGCAGCCCTAAAGTTATAGTTGCATTGAAGTCTTCAAGTGGGTTCCTACAACAGGCAACTGTTTTGCTGGGACTTTATAGGGCTATTTTGTGAGTTATCCAGTCTGTGCTCCTGATATCTAAATTTTTCTATCTTATGTGACCTTAAAATAAGTCATGAAACAGATGATTTGGGGTCTGCCAACCAATATGATTGTGTTTCTTTTAGCTCTTTTGTAGCTTTGTGGATCTTTTGTAGTCGTAGCTCATCGTTAACACTCTTTACATTACTTGTCTGTGTGCAAACCGTTTGTAATTTTTACTGGGATAATGACAAATGAATTGGATGAAATGCTAAATCCAAGATTTCTTATAAATAAAATAATGCATTTCGTCCTTTTTACTTATTGAGTGAAGTAATGTTTGATCGGATGGTGGCAAGAAAGTCGGGCAGCCGCACAAACTAATCCAATGGTAAATCAAAATTTTCCTAATGAAAATTGAACAGAACAGATAAATAAAAATCAATTTAGTTCAGTTTTAACTGAATTTTGCAGTGATTTTTTTAATTAATGAAAATCAAGTCAAATATAACTAAAAATAAATTGTTTAGCTAAATTGGTGAGGTTTGGTTTGTCTTTTTACTAATGAGAAAATTAAAAATCTCTAGTTTAAACTTTTATTATAAGATTTTCACCGGTCTGATAAGTCAAGAGGAGCATCACTATGTTTTGTATTAAATTATATTATTTCAGTCCAACGAATCTCTCAATTATTAATAAAAAAAATGGCACGACAGACATTTGTCAAAGTCGTTTTGGTGTAGTTTCATTTCATGGGCAACCAGCCACTAACGCCTAACGGGCAGCAAATTCAAAATGAGATAGGGCGGCAAAGCATTATACAAAAGCCCAGACTATTTTATAAACAAATATTATAAGGTTATGAAAAATATAATAGTTGAAAAAAAAAATCCAAAATAAATAATCTGGACTGAATAACAGGAGCTATCTTTTCAACTCCTCCGATGGCCAGAGTCAAACATAAGGCTCCTCCCCGGACCCGAAGTGGGAGAAAATCGAGTCAGATCTCTTTCTCCATGTATTTCTTTCCGGTAATGGTTTTCGTTTTCCCTCTTTAAACCCTAACTTTCATTTTTGTCGCAGCTGAAAGGGCGAATGCGCCAACTCCAACCTCAACGCCAAACTCGGTACTTCTCTCTCTTTTTCTCGGATATTGCACTAAATAATTTGTTCGTTTACCTGTTTAGTTTCTGAGAAAATGCTTGAAAACAGTTCAGAAAAACTGGAATAACCTAAATTCATTTAGCTGTGAATTATACAATAGAAATGAAAAACTTTAATCTATGCTTTTCTTAGCTACTGAACTCAACTTCCCTTTGCTCTCTATTCCATGTGTCGGTCACTTCTGCTGTTAATAAACGAGACGAAATGAAATAAATTGTAAAATTCTTTCAAATTAAAAGATTATATGGATTTCACTTAGTTTAATCGACAATTTCCCTAATTCTCGACGGAGCAAGAAAATTCAGCTTCGAACACTAAACGTAGTCTTTGATCTTTGCACGTTATGTTAAACTAAAATAGTTATGTAGTGTCTTTATCCTTTTGAATTCTATTTTTCTTTAATTCGAATTGTAAATTTTATATTATTGTCTTTTGTTGTCATTTAATATTTTCTCCTTGTAAAAGACTCCTAGACCAAGTACTAGTAGAGCACGAAGAAATTCTCCATCAAGTGAGTTCTCCTTATCTTTTCTTCTTTTGTTTTTTTTTTTTCCCCCTTTTTTTTATTATTTTAGATTAAGTTGGTACAAATGATTGTGGTGATTTGTGGATTTGGAATGTGTTCATTCTCTTTACATTTTTTCTAAAGCTCCTGGAACACAAAGAGGGAGGAAACCGCACCGCTTCAAGCCAGGAACTGTAGCTCTTCGTGAAATCCGACAATTCCAGAAGTCTTGGGAGCTTCTTATCCCAGCTGCTAGCTTCATCCGACTTGTAAGATCTCTCTCTTCTATCCTCCTATGATTTTAGAGTTTTGGTCTATTGTCGCACCAGCTGGTAAAAACATGACTTTCTTTATGCCTTTATAGCTTCCATCTATTAATCTCACAGCTTAATTTTCTGCTCAATGAAACTTGAATCCATGCGTTTCTGGGATTTTATTCATTTGACTGTTTGAATTTGGAGATGTATTTCTATTTCTTTATCTTTCTCAATTAGCTTTTCACTTATTTCTCTCTCACACCCACAAATAGACATGCAGATGGAATGGAAAAGACCCACTTTGGTTTCCCCTTCTTACATCTATCTCCCTATATTTTTTTGTCCTTTTTTTAACTTATAGAATCTTGTCTACAGTTCAATGCTGGAAAACTTTCCTTAGTGCTTTATTGTTTGATGGTTAATCTGGAAACTGAGGCTTTTCTTGCTGAAGCTTCTGAACTATATTTGTTTGGGATGTGATGGTGTTTGCAATGGAGATGGAGGTTTCAGTCTCCATTTCAAATTTAAATAATTTCCATTCATGTTATTTGTCATCTATCATTCTTCTAAATCCATTTGTTTGTCAATTAGCATCATAACTTAATATTATTGCACATCTTTAAAAGCAAACTTGAACAGAGATTTGGAATTCAGTGAATGGGATTTGACAGTGTCTGAAACCGTTGACCTTTATCTACTCTTCTGCGGTGTAGTAATTTTGTATGTTTTTTGGCTCTTGTGTGTTTGTGGAATTACATCTTCTCTGTATCTTATCTATTCTTCCGTGGATTTTGAAACAGTCCTAGTTAGAAGTTTAGTAATGACATTAGGATTCTTCAAGTGGTTAAATTTTAGTACGGCTCCATGGAATCCATTATGTAGTTGATTTATGAGTTGTAGGATTTGAATCAAATAATGCCAATGGTCCTTATCTTTTACAGGTAAGAAGTATTACTGGTGAATACTCCCGAGAAGTAAGCCGTTGGACAGCTGAGGCTTTAGTAGCACTTCAAGAGGTACAGATACAAGCACAAATATGAATTGTGTATGCATGCCTGCATGTAGTGCGTGTGCAACAACCAGTAGTGATTATAGGGATTATCATTTGACTACAGTTTGGTTTGCTCATGATAGATTTAAATGCATTCCTGTAGTTCATTTGTTATTTTTTTGTAGGCAGCAGAAGATTTTTTGGTTCATTTATTTGAAGATGGGATGCTATGTGCAATTCATGCAAAGCGCGTTACATTAAGTAAGATTTGATGGACCTACTGTTATTAACTCTTTTTTTTGTTTTTTCCTTTTCAATTTCCTTGATTAAACATTCACTTTTTTGGCTTTTGGTGTAATGGACATGAAGTTTGATTCAATGGTCTCAACCCTAATTGAACACCAATTAACAATCTTCAATAAGTATTTTAGCTTTACTGTCTGTACCCTGGTTCTTGTCCTGATATTGATGATCTCATGCCATCCATACTTTAGTGTGCTTATTATGCCGTTTAATTCAAATTCAGTCAAACTTGTAGGCAGGTTATACGTACAAATCAACTCATTACTTTTCTTTTGCTATGTTGCCTCAGTGAAGAAGGATTTTGAATTGGCACGTCGGCTTGGAGGGAAGGGACAACCTTGGTGAGAGTGTAATAGCATAACCAAGTCCACAATCACTGATCAAAATCATATCAACATGTACTTCTGCTGTTGTTCTTTGATAGCAATTCCTTTCCTATTTTTATGGCAAATTAACAATTAGGAAGTTAGAAAACATGATTAGCTTTCTGATTCCATTCATAGAGCAGTGTAGATCCCATTGTTAGAATATTTCTTTAGAATTAACAAATTGTCTTAGGTTTTACTTTGGAGCCATTCAAGCCTTGGATGGGTGTAAGCTGACCCATGTGGCTATGTATATGCATAGAAAAATCTATTTTAAGTTCTTGTCTTGTACAAGTGTTGGACCATTGCTCTATTTTCCTGTGATGCTTGACGGGGCACTGGATCAATGTTTTGCATTTGAACTATTTGCAGAATCTCATGCCTTGATGAGTTTAAGCCCTTGTAATTATTATTATTATTATTTTTTTTTTTGTTTGCTTGTGAACAAATGGAATTTTTTTTTGCTTGTCATTTCATCAGCAATAATTCTCTCTTTAGTCAAGTTTTACTACCATCAATTGAAACCAAGATCCAGTGACTTAGTCATTATAAATTTATGCAATCAATCACCCCAATATATTTACACCAAGTAAAGAGAAATTCGACACCTATGAGGTACAAAAATCTTCTTCCTTGACAGAAGCTACATATCTGAAATTTAGGTACAAGCTGCTTCAATAATACTGACAGTGATAGGATAGATGGGACTCTGCTTACCTGCCCTTTTTTTCTTATTTTTTAAATATTAAAAAAGAAAATTGCTCTATATTAGAACAAAAAAGAAAAGAAAAAGGAAATTGCTATGTTCGGAGAAATTCTTGTGTGGAAAAATCGTGTGAAAGCTTAGAAAAACGCGTATTGCGTCGTACATACAGCCCGAAGTCCAATAACAAAAACAAAAAGCGTACTGCAGACAAGCCCTCTAAGACAAAAATAACAAAACGCGTTCTGCAGCCTAAAGCCCAACAACAAAAGGAAACGCGTATTTCAGCGTTCTACGTGTTTTATTCTCAGTTAACGTAAAAAGAAGATTTCAGTGTTGAGATCAGATGCCACCCAACCGAACAACACTTAATCAAGCACTGGGGCTCCTGCGTAAAAGAAAAAGAAAAAGCTGCTAAAAAAATGGACGTTGGTTTGGCCTCTCGATGTCGTTTTGTAACTAAGAAGTTGGTTAAGATTTAAGACTACCTTCTTCACTTATCCTATATTACAACTACTCAAAGAGTCTGGATTAGTTGATCTAGTTTGGTAAAAGCCAGATGTGGAACATGCAAATAAGCTATATTAACACTCACATCTAAAGATTTTGTTACGTTTCTATCAAAAATAAAATCTGTGAGAGAATCATTATACATATATAAATATACACAAACTCTTCGTTAGAGATCAAATGGAATATGACACATTTTTTTAGATTCAATTCAGCTTTTTCCCATTTTAACTTGTATTATATGTATATTCTGTCCTACCAAACATTCTTCCATTAGATACGTTAAAGAAAAAGTTAGTGTATGTGGCTTTTCAAGAACAAAGAAATTACCCTTTTTTTCTGTGCTTGCTTCAAATTAATTGTTGTACCTTTTCTAATAAAATAAATAATATTGATGAGGCCAAATAACTAAAAAAAGCCAAGAATTTTTAGTGAAAGAACTGGCAAAAATTATGAAATGATTAAAATTTAGGCTTATAATTATATTCTCATTTGGCGTACTAATAATTTATAAATTCATGCATAATATCATTAAAATTTGCTAATAAATCATTAACGGATTGGTTTGAATGAAAAAGATTTATGTCTCTTGATCCTTGTTGATATAAAAAATCTCTGCCGATAAATCTAACACTCAAAATAACCTTTAAACTCTAATGATTCTTTGAAAACATTATTCACTCATCAGGTGATTAATGATTGTCGGGGCTTAATCAATAGGCACAATGACACTAAAACTGTCTTTTAAAAAAAGATTACTAGTATTATTCCATGTAAACATACCTTCAACCAACAACTTAAATCCGGCAAGTGAATGCAGGTAGCGGGATAGGTCTATTTTCTAATTGGTAAAGTGAATGCAGTGAATGAAGATTTAAATAACGACTTCCAACATTACTCTGCGAAGATTTCTTTGAATCGATTCGCTTTGACTACTGCTCTGTTCTTTATTTAATTATCCCCGTACAATTAAGCAACTACTTAATGTCCTTTATTATACGGTGATTATTAAGGCATTGTTTGGATGGAGGTTTTTGACGGTAAGGTATGGTAAAAGAAAAGATAAAATTTAACTTTTGAGTTGCTCGGAAAAAAAAGTTATTTTGAAAAAAAATGGTTTTAGAGTTTCATTTTTAAACTCATGGATTTGACCCATCGGGAAGTATTTTTGTTTTTTATTTTCTATATTGTCTTTATCAATTCGGTTAATGTATTAGTTTTTTCATCCAAAATAACTTGGTAATTGACTAAAAAATTCTTCTAAACTATAATTAAATTAATAATAATATTCTTAATTTATAATGTCCATCAACATTTTGGTTCCTTTATGATTTTTGTTAACATTTTAATCCTTCCGATTTAGATGGAAGGACCAAAATGTTACTAAATTTATAATTTAAAAATCTCATATTTAGTGTTTGAAAATGAGATTTTCATACATTAAATTCACTGTAATTAAGGGATGAATTTATTAGTTTCCCTTTTGAAAGTAATGGGTTTCTTAGAAATTACTATCATTATCCATAGTTGATGGAGCCTAACGATTATAACCGTAAGTCAACTAATTATAAATTTGTTTGTTTGGTAGGACCTGTCGTTCGCTTTGCAGCTTTAATTTCCAAACCCAACGCCCAAAATTTTCATTTCAAACTCCTTATCCTATCATTCCTACTGACATTATCAAATCCTTTCAATTAAAATGTTTTTTCTTTTCAACATCAAAGGGATTAATCTCATCCTGCAACTTTTAAATAGGGGTTGAGGATACCCTCGGAAATACCAGTTTTTTTTTTTTTCTTTTTTCCAGAAAAACAAAAATAGAAAATACTCGCCCCATGGATTATATATATACTTTCAAGGTTCCCTTATTTCAAGTTAGTTTCAGTTGAAGCTCGCTATTGCCCTTTTCTTTCTGTACTTTCTGACTCTTCTCCCTCTCTCTCTCTCTCTCTCTCTCTCTCTCTCTCTATCTGCTTAAAGAAACAAAGAAATGGATAGACGCAGAAGGAAGCAACCTAAAACCGCTACTTGTCTCTCTGAAGGTGATTTTATTTATTATTATGAATCTCTAATTTGTGCTTTTGCTTCTTGTCTCTGTGTAATTGTTTCCGGGTTTTCTTTTTTTCAGCAATTAATTATTATTACAATTTGTTGTTTTTTTTTATCTCCTCCATGTCTTTTTCCATTTCAAAGCTCTTTTCATTAATTAATTTCATTATCTTATTAATTAGCAGAGGTGAGCAGCATTGAGTGGGAGTTCATTAACATGTCCGAACAAGAAGAGGATCTCATTTATCGAATGTATAAGCTTGTCGGGGACAGGTTATAATCCAACTCAATCTTTCTTTCCTTCATATTTCTTCTTCTGGAAATAGAACCACATTTTAGAATTTTACCATTTGCAGCTTTCGAACGTGTTGGTGTGTGTATATATATAATCTATAATTAGCAGAGGTGAGCAGCATTGGAGTGGGATGTTCATTAACATATGTTCCGATACAAGAAGAGGATCTCATTTATCGAATGTATAATGCTATGTCGGGGGACAGGTTATAATCCATACTCAATCTTCTTCTCTTCATATTTTCTTTCTTCTGAAATAAACCATCCATTTTTATTAGAATTTTTATCCAATTTGCATGCTTTCGAACGTGTTGGATGTGTGTATAATATAATATATATATTTATATAATATATATATATACATTATATTATGAACAACAATATTGTCTCTTGTTATTTGACTACCTACATATACTTGTAATTTTATTTTTTGGTTAATTAATTTTTCAACTCAGAAAGCTCATATTCATAAATTCTGACTCATTAATATATACATATATATGAACAACAATGTCTCTGTTATTTGACCTACCTAACTTGTAATTTATTTTTTTGGTTAATTAATTTTCAACTCAGAAGCTCATATTCATAAATTCTGACTCATTTATTAACTTACAGTATGTTTAAAACATGAAAGGTACATTTTCTGATTTCAAAGTCATCATTGCAATAACAATATTTACTATTTGCAATATTATTAATTAACTAATTACTTCTATATTTTAAATTATGCAGGTGGGGTTTGATAGCGGGTCGAATCCCGGGTCGGAAAGCTGAAGAAATAGAGAGGTTTTGGATAATGAGACACGGCGAAGTGTTTGCCAGTAGACGAGAAGAACTCAAGAGCTCTGAGTCTTAATGGAAATTCATTTTTGGATATAAGGCATTAATCCCATCCTTCTTCTGATCTTCTTCTTCTACAGAAGGTCCAAATTTAATTAATATCTAGATTTAGTTAAATTATAATTAGTAATAGAATGATTAACGTGTGTTGATGTTTCATTAACATCGAAGTAAGTAGTAATGAGCAGTGATTATGATTCCATTAGTGTATTTTTGCTCCTCCTTGTTTTAATCCTTTCATGTACTAATTTATTCTACTAAGTAATTTAATTAATATGACTGCATTATTAATTTTGATTTATTAGTATCATTTATATATAAAAGTAAAGCAAATCTTTTTTTTTTTTTTTCATTTTTTCTGTAACAGAGCTACTAATGGCAAAATTCTAATGTAGGAAAAAGGCTAAAGACGAAGACAGGAGACTAAAGTAGGAAGAAAAGTTCTGTGACTGTAGGTTTCAGTTCATGCTGCTACTTTTCAATCTTTATTAATGGTAGGGAAGGATCGGTCTCTACCCTTCTCTGCTTAAAAGTCTGCAGTTCAGTGTTCAGTACTTTATATAATTATATATTTTTCATATTTATTTATTTTTCTGCTATATTTTCTCTTCTCGTACACAAACCTTTTCAAAATTAATGAGTAATAAATAACGTCATGCATGCGTCTTATAAACCCCCAGGAAAAAGAAAAAAAAAAAAGAAAAAGAAAAATCCAAGGGAAAAGATTCCATGTCATTTAAATGATAATGGAAACATTTCCTTCTCCCAAGGAAATGGAAATGATTCCTCCCTTGTTCACCCCCATGGGCTTTATTATCAGCCTAGATAGATAGATAGGCTTGAGCCGAAGTTGTAGAATTGAAAGAGGCCTAATTTCCTACAAGGTAAAGCCCAGATTCAAAACGGGATGCCACTTGAAGTGCGGATTGTTATAGCGTGGAGATGACGTAATCAAGACTTGAGTCTTGTGAACGGAATTTTTGTTTTTTGTTTTTCTTTTTTCAAATGATACTTGCAATTTGCATGAACAGAAGATTTTATGCAACACGTGTATGCATAGTAAAATTTTTATCCAGCATGTCCTTTTTGTCCTAGAAAATTTTTATCGCATAAAGAGAAAATATACTGGTTCCGTTCTGTTAATTTAACACTTTTTAATTTATTTTCACTTCAATTATAATTTTAGAAAATTAAAATAATATTCAATTATTGCTTTTATTTAAATATTTCCACTTTAGCTCTCTTAGTTATAAAAAATTTATTTAATCAATAATTTTTTTCGATAACTAAAACTGAAATTATTTTTTAATTATTGTGAACAGTTAAATATTAAAAAGAGATAATATATATAATGAAATTTAATAAAGACCAAAAAGTAATTAATTTATGCTTGAAACTTGAAACTAAAGGTTTAGTTGGACCTTTTCAAATTATCTTTCGACAATAAGTAAAGAAGATTCTTTAATTGTGTTAAATTAATTGTATCAAATTAAAATATTGATTAAGTTAATTAAATTGATGTAATAATTTATAATACCAATCACAAATGTTTGTTTTTTAATTGGAATTTAAGTAAGGCGTTAAATTAAATTCAATCAAACTACAATAGGTCACGGAATAAATTTAAATGTAATTTCAGTACCGAATATCGATCTCCGATCACCGAATCATTATTGCACTCCTAGCATAAACATTGTACCCGCATGTGCATATGGTCAGTTACCTAATATCATGACCATAATACCCTTTGACCTGGTTTACTTAATAAAGAATAAATTAAAAGAAAATAATAGAAAAACGTTATAGATATTTTCCAAGGCCCCAGACGCGTAGAATATTAATTGGGTGGCCAAAAGCCGACAATTTGAGTTCACAATTGTTTACGGACAATAACCTTGTAGTTTCAATGCATTAAAGTACTTTTTCCGGTCCAGGTTATTATAGTAAAATAGTGGGAAAGTTTGAAAAATCAAATACGTTTTCTGAGAATGCATGAATTGTGATCTGTTATCGTTACAGGGGTGGCCATGGTTCTAGAACCGTAGATTCTAATTTCAAAAAATTTAGAACTAGAATTGAATCGAAAAATTAATAGTTTTAGTTATGGTTTCGGTTCCAAAAACCAACAGTTCCGACTGGTTCTCCGACCGGTTTTTCAACGGTTCCGGTCGATTTCAAACCGATTGCGGATGGTTCCGACCGGTTTCAAATGGAACTAGAACCGTCGGTTCCGACTGGAGCTGGAATGGCCGGTTCACAGTTTCAAAACTGGTGGAATCAGAATCAAACCGGTTTGGACCGATTCTGATTTCAGTTCGGATCGGTTTTGATTCCCACCGATTCTAAACCGACGGTTCTAATTCTAAAAACCGGATTTTGACCACCTCTAATTATATATGTGTTTAGCATACGTCAGAATCATTTAAAGATTGAGTGGTTTCCAGAAAAAGAATTTTTTTTGGAATGATTCTAGAAAAAGAAGTTGATTCAAAGGATAGTGAATAGTTGCATTAGATAAGCATTCTAACTTCATTGTCTTGTTCTCACAAGTTCAATTTCAGAAATTTAATATAATCAGGACAATTTTTAACATATGACTAAATGGATTTTTATATTTCAAATTTGTTTATATTAAACAAAAAATTAAAAATCCATATAAAAACAATTTAATATTAATTTTTTAAGTTAGTGATTCAATTAGTTACATATATAATCAATCAATGAAAAAAAGAACGGAGATGAGGCTCAGTCAAGCGTCAGGATTGCATAATTTAAAGTTCACAAAGAATAGCATTACGTAGAAGATGCAGAATGAGCAATAAAATTTAAAATATACATTTGGATGGTTTGTCAAACGTCAGCGTAAGCATGGGGTCGCACTTGATATCAGCAGTAGACGTCACCTTATCTTAATTCTTCTTATCTTTTTTCGTCCTTTTTCTTATGTAAATTCACACAAATTTAAATTTTAAAAAGAAAAGGTTGAAAAAAGTGACAACTGACTCAGCAAGCAAGAAGCAACAAAGAGGCCACCAAGGAATGTTCTTTTCTTTTTCCGCGTTTCTACTCAGTAGCAAACTTCTGTTAGATACAAGGGTTGCGTTTCGAACTTTTTTGAATTGGTCAGCCATTGGACCCTTCTTTTCTTTTTTTTTTTTCTTTTTTTTTTTTTTTTTTTTTTTAATTCTTCTTATCTTCTTTTCGTTCCTTTCTTATGTAAATTTCACTCACCAAATTTTAAATTTTAAAAAAGAAAAAGGTTGAAAAATAGTGACATCATTTGACTCAGCATATAGCAAGAAGGCAACAAAAGCCAGGCCACCAAGGAAATGTTTGTGTGGGGGTGTGCACGCGCTTGTCTTACTCCAAGTATTAGGTGCATTACCTGTTCTGTTTGATCTAAATAGGGTTGCGTTTCCGAACTTTTTGAGATTGGGCTCAGCCCAAAATTGAGACCCCTTTTCTTTTCCTTTTTTTTTTTTTTCCTTTTTTTTTTTTTTTTTTAAATAAATAATTATATATATGCCAACCCATTCCTCGATTTCCCTCATATAACCTCATCCGGGATCACTTCCTGTACTGACCAATTTTTTTTTTTTTTTTTTTTTTTTTTTTTTTTTATAAATAATTATATATATGCCCCTCCTTCTTCTCACCTTCTCAACATAGACCAAAATCCCCTTTATCCTTTTTCAATTTGGGGTTCTGATCTCCCTTTCTTTGCATTACAAATAGCTTTCTTCTACACTTCACTTCCACTTCGACATCACATTTAATATCGATCTTGAAGCTGTAGTTTGTCTTATGGTATATATACCAGAAATTCGAAATGGATTTGGAACAAAAGAATCTCATCAATGAACTGTCTCAGGGGAAAGAGTTAGCAGAACAGCTAAGAAACCATCTTAACCCTTCATCTTCACTTGAAACTCGTTTGTTCTTAGTTGATAAGCTACTTTCTTCCTATGAGAAAGCACTTTGTTTGCTTAATTGGGTTGAATTGTCACATTCATATCCTAATTCTACCCCAACTACTGACGTCTCTCTTCAACCTTCCAAAAAGAAAAGGTATTTTTTAATATTTTAATTAATTTCGTATATATCTGGTTCTTAATTAATTAATTAATTAATCTAAATTTTACTGAAATATTTCAGGAAAACACAAATTCGTTGTACTGAAGAAGTGAAGGTTTGTTCAGGAACAGGAGCCCAAGCTGGGCCACCTGACGATGGTTATAGCTGGAGAAAGTATGGTCAAAAAGATATTCTTGGAGCTAATTTTCCAAGGTTAGTTTTTTTCTGTTTTTTTTTTTTATTTTTTTATTGAATTAATGCCGACGAAGTAATTAATAACTGTAAACTAATAATTTGCAGGGGATACTTCAGATGCATTCACCGTCACTCACAAGGTTGTCTGGCTATAAAGCAAGTTCAAAGATCCGACCAAGATCCTTCGATTTTTGAAGTGACGTACAGAGGAAGACATACTTGTGTCCAGGCCTCTCATTTTACTTCAGTAAATGAAAATTCCATCCAAAACAAAGATCATCATCATCAACAACAAATAGCAAAAGAGGTGAAAACACAGGATTTGGAAATTAAGAAAGAAAGTTTTCCATCCCTTTCCTTCCTGGATGAATTAAATGAGAGTGATGAGTCCAACAATTTCGCAGCGAGTCTTTCTCCGACATCTGATCAATCGAACTATTTCTCAGACAGCTATGGAATAAGTTTGAATGTTCGTACTCCGGACTCGAATCTCATTGACATAATTTCAACATCAAATTCAGTTGCCAATTCACCAATTGGAGATTTGGATTTCTCTAATTTCGACTTTGAGATCGAACCCAATTTCCAGTTTGATAATTTGGAATTCTTTGCTTAGCCGTGATACCCAACATTAGTACCTACTCGTAAGTCTTAAACAAAGTGATAGACAAGAAATTTTCCACTTAATAGTTGGCCAAATTTTTTATTCAAATAATATATTTTTGGTAAGTTCAGGAGTATCGCACCGATTATTGTAATTCTTTTTTTCATCTGCTGTATATCTTGAATGCAGTAAAACTCAAATTGAACAAATGTACAATTACTAATAAATTTAATATATCTTGTTCAAGTTCGTTAAGAGACAAAAAAGGGGAATGATACGCTTTCTAGCCCAATGCTTTGGCCCAATTCAAAGACCAACTGGATGAGTCCATAAAGCCTACAATGAAATGAGGCCCATGAGCCCACTGCTTTCTTTTTTTTGGAAACTTTACTGAAAAGAAGATAGGGGGATAAGTTTAAAGTATAGAGTAGAGAGTACAAACAAATGATTTGCCAGTTTGACACTTGAAAAGAAAAGGCACAACAATTATTGACAGCTTTAGACTCACACATGCAATCATAATTATATACTTTTTTTTTTTTTTTTCAATTTTTGTAATTTAATAAAAATGGAATAAAAAAGGTGGCTAATATAAAATAAGATCAAATGATTTCAAAATTACAGTTCTCAGTTATCCAATATTGTTCCTTTTTACTTTATATTTGTCATTTTTTAAGTTGCTAAATTCCATTTGCTGCCTTTCAAATTTAAATGGGTTCCCACCCCAATCAAAAGGTTCAAAATGACCAATCCAGCCCTCTAAAACTTCAAAAATGACTCACAAACCTTTGAAACTTTAACCTGCCAACTAATAATTCATTACGCCATAATAAATATTTCATGCAAGTGGACAGTACCTGATATATTGATTTTTTTAAGGTTGTGCTATTGATGGATTTTGAAAGTTTTGATGTGGAAGGTTAACTTATCAAAAAACACAAAAAATAAAAGACCAATGGTATGTGGTTGTTGTGAAATTCATATGTAAATGTTGTTAAGATTAACCTTGTGTTGCAAAGTTTATATTCGCATGTAAGTATAAAATTTTTTAAGATGTAAAATTTACTCTCTCTACACATATATATATAGATAGATATAAAATTTTTCGAGGAATAATATACATCAATGTCAATATTAATTATGTACCGAGCATAATAAAATAGAATAAAATTTTAACTTCAAATAATTTTCTTTATGCACGTATAACTGAATAATAAATAAAATAAAAATATTAGAAAAATAATTTTCTTCAAATTTGATTGATTAATTGGATTACTATAAGGAAAAAAAAAAAATATAAGGAGCCAAAGTTGATATACAAATAAAAAATTGACTCAGGAGCCAAAGTTGATAGACAAATGAAAGTTTGATTATCCTATGCCATGTGGTGTTAAGCAGTGGGCAACCAAAACAATAACAGGATAAGGGGCACATATGGACAGCCACGTTTCTTTTATGGGCCCCCACAAGGTGACACATACAGTGATGGCAGGCTTAGGTAAGCCTGTTTTGTAATTTTAGAACATTCTATGGTTAAAAGACCTAAAAAGTTTCAGAATTCATTTACTATAAAAATCTATATTTCATCGCTAATTAAATTTATATATATTCATCTACCAAAAAAAAAAAAAAACTTTAATACTACTTGTATTTTTTTCAGTGAAAATTTTAAATATTTTCATTTATTAAAAAATTTCATTAAATTGAATTAGTATATATCATATGTAGATATATATTTTTCATATTTACGACTCTTAAAATTAAACCATTTAATTTAATAAAATCATATTTTAATCGATGATAAAAATACAGGTTAGTTGCCATTTCAGTGTCATTGTAAACAACAATTTCTTTTTATGGAAAAATAAATAAATAGAGTGATAAGATGGAAACAAAATGTTAAAACAGGAGTGGAAAGGGTAATCACAACTCTTGATGTTTTTGTTATTTTTGTACTTATTGGTGTGATGAAAACGTACACGATAAATAATGTAAGCTATGTTTGGTCCACCAAAATCCGATCTTTTCATTTTGTAATTATTATCAAGGGAGAATTAATTAAGGTTTGCTTTTTCATTTTTCAAGTTACTCAATTCACATATTTTTTTTCTTGGTATTAATTGTAGATATTCCTAATTTATTAGGCTATAACTAAATCATGTTTGTGTCCATTAAAAAACAAAACACTTCTAATGAGTATGGGCGAAGCTACCTTTAACACAAAAGTAGATAATTGTTCTCTTCTCTTCAAAAAAATAAAAATTTTAAATAATTTATTTTGGTTAAGCGCGAATTATGGCCATTTAAGAAAGGATTTGTACCCCTAACTTGCATATTCAATTTTTGCCCCCTCCAAGTTTAACTCTAGTGAATATTTTTTCTGTTCAAGTGAATTAAACCTTCCATCTCATTTTAGAGAGAATAATGCACAACCATTAATTCTGACACTATTTAGGTTACACCAATTCATATTAAACATTCAATTCCACAATGAATGACTAGTGTTTTAACTTTAATTGACTACCAAAACAACAAGAAAGATAAATAATAAATCAACATTTCCAATTCCTATATCATAATTTCTTTCCCACCCAACCAAACACACAGTGTGAAAAGAAAAAACAGAGAAGAATCCTATGAAATGCATGTCGAAGTTGCTGGTCTGTTTCCATATTTCACTGTCATCACAGGTCCGTAATCACATGCATCTTTAGACCTCAAAATAAAAATTTTATAGGCCGCTATAGTCACAGACAAACATGACCATAAGAAAATCAATATTCAGAAATAGGATATCTAATTGGGGTCACCTCCACTTGTGTCCATACTATTCTTCTTTCCAATCACATACCCTTTAATAATTGATCATCAAATGCAAATAAAATCATTTTATTTTTGGTACTTAATTGTCTAATTTGCCACTTACCTACTTCATTAACTCCTTAGTGGCTATGACTTTTTCTTTGATGTAACTAAAATTTAATTTCTTTAGTGGTTGCATGGGTCCACCACATTTTGGCTTAATTCAATATATATATGCTACAATATTCCAGATTTGTCATTGCTCACTCACCTTTCTTACCCACTTCACATCATTCTATTACATTATACGTAATAACGCAATTCTATTACATTAAAATGTTAGAGAGTATAATACAATCACGTGGAGGAGTTGATCATAACAAGAAACTTAAGGAGACAGCACAGGAACATATATAAAAAGTAATTAAATACAAAAGGCTATAGAGAGTAGAATAATTATTACCTATACTATTTGATTATCAAGTTAATTATAATTTTGGGTCTTCCATTTGAGAGCTAAACGAGAGAGTGCTTTGGTGGAAGATCCATTTTCACTGAGCACATCAGAAGCTGCATCTTTGAGATTTTTCATTCTATTGCGTACTTTTTTCCCTTCTTCGCCTTCCATTAAGCTTCTAATCGTATTTGCAATCTCTTCTCTTACAATTAAGCCATTTTCACTAGGTTTAGGTCTTAAGGCAACCTTAATGTCCTCTGTTAACATAACAGCATTCATTTTTTGCTCCGCGTAGAGTGGCCAAGCAATTAACGGAACTCCATTTACTACACTTTCAAGAGTTGAATTCCAACCACAGTGAGTTAAGAACCCACCTGTTGCCCCGTGACTCAGTACCTTTGCTTGTGGTGCCCAAGACGACACAACTAGACCCCGTCCTTTGGTCCTGTCTAAAAACCCTTTTGGTAAAAAATCGAACGGGTCGTTTTGGCTTTGTACGCTAAAATATGTAGCATTGGCAACTCCATCATTTGGACTCCTTACTACCCATAAAAATCTTTGATCGCTCATTTCTAAACCCAAAGCCAATTCGGTTATCTGATTGTAAGAAAGGGACCCACCACTTCCAAATGAAACGTATAGGACAGAGCCATGTGGCTGATCATCTAGCCACTTCAAAATTTCTGCTTCCTCAGGCTTACTCTTTGAATCCATATTCACCAGCGGACCAATCGGGTAAACGGGTGGTTTACCCGGTTCTTCTTCTTGCAAAGCTTTTATGGCTCCTCCTTCCATTTCCATGAAACTATTTAGCATAATACCCTCAGCCTGTCTATACCGCTTTGCATGATGAAGAACCCATTTGTAAGCGTCATCCTTTCGATCTTGAACCGGGTCGAGCAAGTCTTTACCGTGTATGGGTATACACCCGGGTATTTTCACGGGTTCTTTTAACTCCCTATACTCACACGACGTCGTTTCGTCGAGCTTGGGCAACGTAAAGAACAAAGACAAAGCCATAGCCGTAGAAGGATAAAAAATGTAAGGAGAGACATTGAATTCTCTGGCCACATCAAATGCATCGGTGCCAAAAAGATCCACTACCAAGGCCGCGAGACGAGTTGTCGAAACTAGAGACTTTAACTCCTCGCGAAGAGACGGAAAGGAGCGCGTCACAGTTAGGGAAATTAATGTTTCAATCTTTGCATCCGAAGGAAGGTCACTGAAGCTAACTGGAGGAAGAAACGTATAGCTTATGGTGGAGGGAAGGGAATCAAGAACAGATTTTTGTGCCTTAGAAGGAGGACCATCGGTTGGCACAATGAACTTAACCGAAATATTATGTTGAAAAGCGAGTCGTTTAGCAAACTCGACGAGTGGGATGAGGTGACCCATCCCTGGAGATGGTAAAATGGCAATATGGGTTGGTTCCGCCATGGATGGAATGGAATGGAAAGGAAAGGAAAGGAAAGCTTTTCTGGTTAATTATGGTTTTGTGAGGCACAAAAAGAGAAGCGTCTACTGCTTTATATAGAGACAGGTAATCCGAATAAGAGAATAATTAATATTTGGTTGTTTTTATTGGGCGGAGAAGAATGGAATTATAAAGAAGAGGATTAAATTGGAGCATATTCTTTATATTTTCAGCGTTTAAGGCTTTAAGCCTCAAGTTTGGAAGCTAGACGTTTATGTCTATTTTTCTAGAGGGAAAGGGAAAGGGAAAGGGAAATTTTTATTTTTTATTTATTTATTTTGTTTTTCCTGTATAGCTGCTCTCTTTGTCTAGATGAGTAAAATTGAGAACACAAGTGTTGTGTGGTGGTGATGTCAGTTCCAACGTAAGGCTTAGGTTATCAGTTATGGACGCTGGCCGTCCTTATCGTGTTTGGATGTCATTTTCTTGGCGTAGTATTGACGAGGTTAATTTGCTAAGCCTTAATTAATGTTTAACCAGAGGAATGGATGAACAGTAAAAATAGTAATAAGTCATAATTTGAACAGGTCATCTTCTGTTGAGGAAAAAACAAATAAATAAAAAAAAAACATTTTTCTACACCTTATTTTGACCAAGTGGATTCTAAATTTTAATGCTTGAAATATTTAAAAAATATGTATTCATTCAATTTATGAGTACTTTCTGTTTATTAAAAAAAGAAAAAACCCTCTGTAAAATCAAATTGATAGATCCTACTTTGGAAGTGTAGTTGGTGAATGTCAGTTAATTACTATTTAATTCTCCGCTTAACAAATAAAAATGACAGAATGACTAAATAATTTATAGGATTAAATTTTAAAAACTTTATAATAATTTTTTAAAAGGATAACGATGAAGTAATAATTTCAATTAAATTTCGAGACTTGACAGTAATTTGAATTTGTGCTAAATTATCCTAATTCATCTGTTTTTTCTTTCTTCCATGAACGAAGCGAATTTGATACTCAAATTAAAAAGAAAAAAAAAAAAAAAAAGCTTCTGTTGAGGAAAAACGGAATACAATAACAAAAAAAAAACATTTTCATACACCTTATTTCATGACCAAGTCTGGATTCTAAAATAATGTTGAAATATTTAAAAAATATGTTTCATTCAATTTAATGAGCTACTTTCTGTTTTTATTAAAAAAAGATAAAAACCTTCTGTAAAATCCCAAGATTGATAGGTATCCTTACTTTGGTAAGTGTAGTTGATGTGTAATGTTCAGTTAATATACTACTTTAATTCTCCGACTTAACCTTAAAAGTGCACACGAATGACTCTACATATAATTTATAGGATAAATTTTATCAAAATTTATAATATTTTAAAAGTGATAATCGAATGACAGTAATAATTTTCAATTAAATTTCGAGGGACTTGACAGTAATTGAATTGTGCCTAAATTATCACGCTAATTCATCTGTTTTTCTTTCTTCCATGAACGATAAGCGAATTTGATACTCAGAATTATAAAAAGAAAAAAAAAAAAAAAAAGAAAGCCAAGAGAAAGCCCTTTTGGTCGCATGAGAGTCGCGAAGCGGTGGGAACGTCAAATTAACACGAGTTTTATAATGGAAACAATATAGAGCAGGCAAACGTGAAGATGCCAAGTTTGGTTTTGATCACTTAGCGTTTTTTTTTTTTTTAAAGGAATTATCCAATCAAAATTAGATACCCATTATTTATTCAGATCTCCTATATTTATTAATATTCATCAGTAGAAAAAAAAAATTAGACTTCCACTTTATTAAATGGATCATAATAAATGACAAAATTAGCCAATAAATCATAGATCTCAATTTTCATAAATAAGAGAACTCCAGCCTCTCTCTGGGCGGCCCTCTCCCTTCTCTATTATACATCACCGCTCGGGCCATAATTAATTCAATTAGTGTTGTTAATTAACAAGGGCAACAACCATATTATATGCTACCTGTTTTTTTAACATTATACTTCATTACTAAAGGATTTTGCTTAGCAAATTTTAGATAAAAAAAAAAAAAGAAGAAAAAAAACCAAATAAATTTTATATTGTCATTGGCTTAACCTAAATATCGAAAATTAAAAAAAAAAAAAAAAAAAAAGAAGCAGAAAAGCCTGGTCGCATGAAGGGTGAGAACGTCAAAAACACGAGTAAAATGGAAACAAATATAGAGCAGGCAAACGTGGAAGATGCCAAGTTGGTTTTGATCACTTAGCGTTTTTTTTTTTTTTAAGATTATCAATCAAATAGTACCATTATTTATTCAGATCTCTATATTTAATATTTCAGTCAGAAAAAAAAAAATTAGACTTCCACATTTATAAATGGATCATATAAATGAAAAATTAGCCAATAAATTCATAATTCAATTTCATAAATAAGAGGTCAGCCTCTCTGGCGGCCTTCCCCTTCTATTATACACCCCGGCATAATTAATTAATTAGTGTTGTAATTAACAAGGCAACAACCATTTATATGCTACCTGTTTTTTAAATATATTATTATAAGATTTTGCAGCAAATTTAGAAAAAAAAAAAAAAAGAGAAAAAAACAATAATTTATATGTCATGCTTACCTAATTGAAAATTTTGCTATAAAATTAGGTTATCTTATTAAGTTGAAGATGCATCATGTGGTTTTCAAGATGCTTTTGTGGAAGGTGGAGAGTAAAACGTTAGTGAGCAAACAGCCACAAATTTCTCTGTCATACAAATAACTCAATCATTTTAATATAAATTGATTTTTAACCTTCCTATCCATTTTAGGTTTCATGATTTCCATATTCATTTTAAATTTTATTTTTATCTTTTATTAAACCGTTGTGATATTGCTGGATTAAAATATTTTGTTTATAATAAAATTAGTCAAAATTATCTATTTTTCATTTGATTCAAATATACTTTTTTATCATTTATTCCCTTTAATATTTCATTGTCTTCTTATTACTTATATAAATAATTTAGGATTATATATATTTTTCATTCGTTGGATCTAATAAGCCTTAATAATACTGTGCACTACACAATCGGACTCAAAATTTCTCACATAAACAATAAGACGAACAAACCACACCGGGTTGGTAATAATTTAAAATTCTCTATTACCAAAAAAATATTATTTTCATCTTATTCATGACTGTTTTTTAAACTCAAACAAAGATGAGAAAAGAAAATTAAATTAACCATTTAATTTATAAAATAATTCAGTGAAGTTTTTAATGTTTAACAAAATATTTATTCCGATAGTAAAAGGGCAATTTAAATATTAATTGAAATGAAAAAAAAAAAAAGAAAGTATTAAAAAATTGACACTTTTTTTTTTATCAATTTTAGTGCAAATAAAATATCTTAACACGGTAATAATTTTTTTCTCTGTCGATAACCCCATTTTTATTAAATTCCTTTTATAAGAATTTGGATTTCAGTATATTGAGTCATGTGCATTGTTTATATAGATGATTTATATATATCTTGGTTTTTTTTTAGAAAAAAAAAAGAGATCATGTTAAGGATTTTGATAATATTGCATATTTTTTATATTAGTAATAATATTTTTAAAAATTTTAATTTTTATATAATATTAACTTGAAATATTATTAATATAATTTTTAAAATAATAAATTTATATTTTTTAATTATTTAAATATACACTATATCTGAAAGTTGGGTAGCACTTGTTGTTAGATTATATAAGTACATCTGATAACTATTGCACGTGTTGTTCTGTTAACTATGTTGGTCATCTGACACTGGTAGGATATATCCACGCGAACACACAACATGGAGATTGATTTTCCTGACATCTTTTTCTGTTTAATTGAACAAACAAGTTTGTTCGTATTGGAAGTTTTTATTCTAATAATATTTATTTTATTTTTTTCAATAACAAACTTTAGGATGTTGTGTAAAAATATCATATATTAATTTATGTATAACATCATTTATAATATCTTTTTTAATTGGATAGAACGATAGCTGAATAGAAAATTCTATTATACAAATATTTTAAAAAATCCTATTGATTAATTAAACAAATTAATAATTTAGAATTAAAAATTATGTATATAATTGACCCTCGATTTATTTCAAGATATATTGGAGTAATTATTTGCAAATGGGCCGAGACGTCTAACGAAAAGACTACTTGATATTCTAGAGCTGCAACTGGGCCTTGTTCTCTGGTCCAATTAATACGTTATTACTAGACCGAAATATTGTGGGCCTATGTAGTTACTAGTGGATCCGTCCAATCCATCGAAGGAAGAATAAAATATGAAATCGAGAAATAAGAAAAGTTGTATTTGCAGTAGTTGTTCGATTCGTATTTCGAGTGAGAGCTGAAATCGCAGAGGGACAAGATGATATACCGAAAGTGGAGTCTGTTAACGGGCCCGGTGGCTATCTTGGCCGGGATCGTCGCTACGGTGGTCGTCGCTGACTTGCTTTTCATTGAGAACGTAAGTTTTCCCCTTTTTTTTCGGGTTTCCAACCCTAGACTTTCCATTCAAATAATCGAATTTTTTTGGGGTGAATTGAAGAGCTTATACCTCTATATTAAGAAATTAGTTGTTTGATATGCAGTTTGGATGTTTGAATTATAAGCAGTGGTTTGTTAGTCATCATGTTTAGATCTGAATCTGGCTATAAGAGGCATCTTCCATATTTAATCTTAAGATATTGGATTGTGACTTCTTTTATAAGTGTAAGCATTAGTTTTGTTTCATTTAGTAGTAAAATAAATAGTCGCTTTGTTCAAGCAATTTAGAAGTCGATGAAAGTTTCCAATGTTGGATATGTAAATTTGATGTTTGGAATCACTTGAAACTGAAATTTCACCTGGTTGATTTTCACTCCATGTGTGTTTTGTCTATGCTGGGAAGATGTTTTGATAGTTGGAGATCAATACTAAATGAACTTGACATAATGGTACATTTTTTTAACTAGAACTTAGACCAGCAATGGTGGAAGTATGAAAAACTAGAACAAATTGATCAAGTGTTGTGCCATGAAGTTATATTTGATTTCAAATTTAATTATTTGGAAATAGTTTTCAACTTAATATGAAGTAGTCCCTCCAATTTTAAACTGGGAGAAAGAGGTTATTTGTTTTATCTTGACTGCCATGGAAACGCTTTGCATTCAAACATAGTAATAATTCTTACACATTCTGTTGTATTTTAGTATATGTTACCAATCATGTTGACATCCAAGAATGGGAACAGAAGCGCCTCTATTGATTCCCCATTGTCTCCTAAATAAAGCTTGCCCTTGAGCTCCTTAGGAAATTTTGTTGGTTTTTATGGCTAATAAATTGAATTCACTGCTCTTCAGGCCTTGGTTGGATTATTTTAAAAACTACTGAGTTTGTTTTAACCAGAGCTCTTCATGACATGAGTTTTTTTCCCCCAAGGGTCACATCCCTTCTAACGTTTTATATTTGGAACTGCAGGATCGATTTTTTAAACGAGAAGAAAGGAAGCCAGATGCACCATCAGCCACCAAATAGAAGGGGAGCAAAACCACTTTATGAATGTTATGTAAGATTTTTCTGGTGGTTTGTGTTTGTTAAGTATGTTTCGGCAAAACGTGTATCTTTAAGATGCAATTTGGGACAAGAGTTCATAGTTAAATAATATGCAGGTTCTTGATCAAGTTTCAAGTGCATGCTTTTGTCTCAACGTAATAATTTAATCACCAAGTTCTGTCATTAAATCTTCAGATATAGGTTGAACTACCTTGATATGCAAATTGCAATTCCAGAAAGGAACAAAAATGGCATTTGGCACTGTTATTTAGTGGAGTTATTAATTCAATGACTGGAGAAAAAGAGTACAGTTGAAACTAAATTTGTTTGTGGTTTTTGGTCTTGTGGTGATTGATCTCAAGATACATTTTTAAATAGACTTATCAAGACTTTCGCCTCCTGTAAAATAGTACTTCGATATGGGCATCTCCGTTTGCGAGATGAATTCTATTTGTTAGCCGAGAATGAATTAGTAAAAGCAGATTTTGATTCACTCAATTACAGATCCAGGGTAAACTGAGTAAGTTTATGTGTACTCAGATACTAAATGAAATTCTATCTACTTAAAAAAAGAATTTTTTCAACCAAGTATGATAGAATAACTAGGTTCCAAAGAATTGCACTCTCCATTTACAGTCACTAACCACCAAATGGACTAGCTGACTTTTCTTTCAGTCAAGCTTCTCGAACTCATTAAGAAAAGTGGAGACACACTTGAAGTTGCTATCTGGCAGTGACTAACATCTGCATTACCAAATCATTCCAGGAGTCAATTGGCCCTGGCAAGCACCAGTGTAAACAATCATTCTGAACTTCAGCATTCTTATCCTCTGCAAATGGCTGAAACTGCCTGTACGGTCCAGGATGCCCATCCGGCCGCAACAACGATAACCGTGTCGTATCAAGTAGTTTGAAATTCCCCCCTGTTGCATTATTAGCCTTCTCAAATTCTTCCAATTCAATATCTCGCATCACTGTGTCTACATCTCTCATGTCAATCTGACCTACTTTAAAGGGAACTGTTCTGTTGCAAGTTCCTCCGCTGAACCATTCTCCATTCTCGAAGTGATCTGGTGTTGTCGTTCTAAAGAAAATCCAAGGTTTGTGATTCGACCGAACGAAAAAATCGAATATCAACTGTAGGGCTTTCCGATATGCATGATCAAATCCTAGCTCTGTCAAGTTCTTTCCAGGACAGTAATGACACCCTGTAACGTTATTGTTCTCATGATAAATTGCAGTTTTGAGAAACCATTTCCCACCTGCGATTACCGCATAATCGAACTTGTTGTATTGATCGGTCCATTTATTATCAAGTTGATCTAAATGAAGCTGGATTTCAGAAGATGAAACTCCATTCAGGTCTTCAAATATTTCTGCCTTGATAAGAAATGGGGCCCAAATTACTGAAAGAGTGAAGTTGTGACCTGGAAAGTGCCATATCTTTGATTTGTATTCTTCGTCGTGATACACCTCAATAGCTTCATCCACCTGTAGTACACAACAATTACTCTTCATGGGACCTAATTTTTTGAAAACTATAAAACAGAGAACATTGCCACAGACCATGCAACATAGAATCGATGCCAGTGGGGTCTAAAATAAAATTTATCATTTTTCTTTGTCTTCTTGTAATAATAATTTAAATTGAAACCAAAACAAGAAACTATTACTTGATTTTATGTTGGTATAATTAGTTTTGTATACGAACTACTAACAATTTCCATTTGTAGATGATACGAAATGAATTATATGGTTTGGACCAATTCAACAAGAGTTATCAATATTACTATTAAAGATTTAAATGGCAATTAAGATCTTTCAAATGTCTGGTAGGTAAACCAGATTAGAAAAGGACATGAGACCCTCCTAATTAAAACCAGCTGTGTTCCACAAGAAGATTCAGATTGAATGATTAATGATTAATAAACAATTAGAAAGATGGAATTTAAACGTTATCCCAATTTTATTCTTACTAGGAAAGATGACTAAATGCTTGTAATCTTTATTCTTTGCAAAGGAAACTTGGGTTCTACTCAAAAACTATTCTCTAAGACTTACAGACTACACACTGGAGTTAACAAGAAATGGCACTACACGAATTAATCTCAACTTAGGAAAAGAAACTTGGGGAAGGGTCATTTAAAGTTTGAAGATTTACCTGAGAGAGAATGCAAAGTAAAGACTGCACATGATTACGAGAAATGGAATCACCAATAAAAGCCCAATACTTGTTCTTCATGAGATGAAGAAATTTCTTTGGATTGAATCTGGGTAAATCACACCCTTGTGGGTTCCATCTCCAGTAAAGGTACCCTGAATCAGGTCTTCCGTTCTTCATACAATTTTGGTGACTTTCAATTTGAAGGCAGCTTTGATTGGTGTAAAATGGGCCTGAAGGGTCTGGTATCCATTCTCCACTAAACAAGTCACATTCTTCTGCAATTACATTACCAATAACAAATTACCACCAAAACCTTAACAAGAACTACACAATTGAAAAGAAAAGCAAAAACAACCCATTTCAAGAAAAAAAGAATTGGCCTCATTCGATTTAGTAATTATATAAATTTATGCATCTACTGAATCAGAGAAAATAAAAACTTGGAAAAAACAAAATATACACACCAATATCTGAAGTTTCGGTTGCATTAACTGCAAAATGATTAGAAAGAGTGTTTTGGTTTTGATGGACTGCAAAATCATTAGCATCGAAGTCATTTACAGGCAAAGAAAGGGCGGGCGGAGAAGACTCTGTTTCAGACTTCTGTTGAACGAGTGGCGGAGAGTCTATGACTGAGGAGGAGGAGAAGAATCCGAATGAATCAGAGACTAACAAACGAAAAGCAAAACCTATAAGAAGAAAGGAGACTGAAAACTTTACAAAGACATGATTGTGTTTGGCGAGGGAAAATGGGTGGAATTGGAAATCCTTCACCATTTGGCGTCAAAAAGAGGGAAGAAAAGGAGAAGGTTAGATAGCTATGCAGCTAAACACAATGGAACCGCACAGGTTTTTCTCAGCAACCAAAACGGTGTTATAATATGATAATTTGGATTATTATTAGGTGGTTAATCAGAGTTAAGAGGGTGAGTAACTTGTGATTTGAATAAAATAATAATATAAAAGTCCTGTCTTAGTCCATGTTTAATGACCACAGGTCCTGTAATATATCTTCTCTGTTTGGTTACTTGTAATTAAGTGGGCCAGCTATTTATCAAAAATAAATATTCCCTTCCCTGCTTTTTGTTTTTCCATTTCCATTTAAGATAATTCATTTATGAAAGTTACATCAGAGATAGAGAAGTAGGAATGGCGATATTCAATTTAATTAATTAAAAATTGAGTTGGATTTTTAAACCTAAAATACAGAGAAAGAGTAAAACAAGATGGAGGAAGAAGAGAGGTCTTCTCTTCTTTCAGTATCAGGAATGCTTATGTCGGAAGTTGCAAAGAAGCAATATGGAGATCGAAAGCACATGCCTGTGTCCACCTTAGATCTCAACACTCAACTTTGTTAATCAAAAGTTGGGGATGGCGTCACGTGGGCCCTCTCTCTCTGTACTGTGAAAAATAATAAATAAATTAAAGGGTAAGCAAATTCTTTATTATTTGTTTCGCTCCTTATGTTATTACATTATGATGTCTCCACACACTTTTTCTTCCTCGTCTTCAATAAGACAATAACATTAATTTGTATTTAATTTTACATAATTTGATATCTTAAATGTAATTTTGTCAAATTTAAATATTATTAATTTAATGAAAATTAATATGAAATTAATTATATCCAGTATAAAATATATAAATGATGTGAAATATCACACAATTGAGTATGGAGTGGAATATTATATATAATAATAATGAAATGTTGAATTGGTGTTTGTTTTCACGTGCATGGGGCATATGGGATTATGATATTTCGCAGAGCTAAAAAAAGCGATCATCAGACATAAGTCATCTATTAATGGATGGATGGATCTCTCCTATCTAAACTTAACACAAACAAAGTGTGTGCATTAGATGACATAAAATTTCAATCATAAATACGTATTTAGAAAGAGTATTTTTTTTTTTTTTTTTTTTTTTTGTAAGCAAATTCTATATATTATTTGTTTCGGCCTCCTTATGTTATATACCATTATGATGGTCTCCACACACTTTTTCTCTCCTCGTCTTTCAATAGACATAACATTATTTGTATTTAATTTACATAACCTCTTGACATATTCTTAAATGTAATTTTGTCAAATTTAAATATTTATTTATTTAATGAAAATTAAATATGAAAATTAATTATATTCCAGTATAGAAAATATATAAATGACTGAAAAATATCACACAATTGAGTATGGAGCAACGTGTGAATATTATATATAAATTAATAATTGAAATGTTGAAATTGGTGTTTGTTTTCACGTGCATGGCGGCATTATGGGATTATGCATATTTCGCAGAAGCTAAAAAAAAGCGATCATTCAGACATAAGTCATCTATTAATGGCCATGATGGTATCCTCTCCCTATCTAAAAACCTTAAACACAAAACAAAGTGTATGTGACATTAGATGACATAAATTCTCAATCATAAATACGTACTTAGAAAGACGTATTTTTTTTTTTTTTTTTTTTTTTTGACTATTTAATAAAAAAAATAGTGTCTAAAAAAGTAATTAGGAGGATGAAGCCATGCATAATTTTTTTTTTTTTTTTTTTTTTTACTATTATAAGAAAAAAAATAGTTAAAAAAAGTAATTAGGAGGATGAAGCAGCAATTGTTTATGATTTGACACAAAATAATAAGGGGAATAAAGATTGGCAAGGCCTTTAAGTGGGGGACCAAATCCATAAATAATTAACTAATAATTAGAGTAAGTAAAAGTTTTTAATTAAGGACTTTCCAGCTAACTTAGAATAGTACTTGTCCAAGTGCTCTTTCAATGGATGAGATTGTGCCACTTTGATGGGAGGAAATGAATGGAGCATAAAATAAAGAAAACAAAATGCTCCACAATGTGGGGCCTTACGTTGGCCCAATAAGAAGGCCCGCTTAACTTTCTCATGCATCCTGCGGTGGCTACTGGCTATTGGCTAACCTTGTTTCGACCTACAAAAGGATCCTCCAAAAATCCAAAACAACCAAAGTGCATTGCACGTTCTACTTCTCTGTACGGGATAGAGCAATGATTTGGTACACCAATCTCTTTTGAAACTCGGACCTTCAAGAAGGAATTGGACCCCGGAACTCAGGTTCTTTAAAAAGAATCCATTTTTTAGGAACTGACAAAATCCATTTTTGCACAGCTTACACCAGAAAAATGTTCGATTGTGGAAAAAAAAAAAAAATCTGTTAATTACATCCACAAACGCAAAGTTTAGCATTCAATCACTTCAAATTACCTACATAATAATCAATTAAAATACAATATATATATATTTATATATATATATATATATCTTATATAAGATCAAGCTTTGTATTTAAGAGGATACCATTCCAACGTTGCAACCATATATATAAGATCAAGCTTTGTATTTAAGAGGATACCATCCAACGTTGCACCATTCATGTTCCATAATGCTGGAAATACTTTCCACATTTTCTACATAGTTCTGTCAAGAAGGTGCTTCGAATTCCAGTATAGGAATTTACCATATGCCAGAAGTTGAATTAGGACTTCATATCTCCTGCAATTACATTATGCAGCTGCTTTTGGAACTTTCATGCCAAACCCATGCTTTACCTTCTCAACTCTGTTCGCGAAGAAAGATGGTTAGAGTTTTCTTCTTCCAAGCTATTAAATATATAAATTTTTGAGAAATTTTTAGATGACATGATTGAAAAACTCCATCCAAACCACATTTACGGGTTCCTTATAGAAATTAGACACAATAAAGACAACTAACTACATGATTCTAAAGCAATTGAAAGCCAGCGTAGAATAAAAATGAAAATTCATTCCCAAGAAACTAACAAGGGAATAGAACTGAGGCAAATGATCACTGAAGCAAGAAAACTTACGTTGGAGCAAGTTTGCCTAGACTATCAAGTTCCTCGCCAGTTTCTTCATCCAAGACTCTTCCAGATATCTCAACGATGTAAGATCTGTCTCTATCAATAGGAAGTCCCCTACCAGTAAGTAAATCCAAATCTTTTTGGTGAAGTTCTCTCCCATTTACAAAAACACCAGTATTCCCGCCAGCACAATCTTCTGGCATGGGATAATCAAATTCTTCAATAAATGGCTGAGACAAATTGAAATGTTCTTCATAAATCTCACATAAATAAAAATATAACTAGCAAACAGTGAGCTAATACTCTGCTTAAACTAAGTTATCTTACAGGAATTATGCCAAGACAAGGCCCACCAATGACACCCCAAAATCCAGCTCTGGCATCATACCTGGTTTATGAACAAAGCAAAAGGCAAACCATCAATACTACCCTTGCTGCCCTTCATGCATAAGGAGCAAAACTAATGCAATCAAAGCACATAAGTATCCAGTCAATACTATACAACTTGCGACAAAAGAAAACCATACTCAAAACTTATGGAAAATAAATGTTCATATCTTCATGTGTAAGGAACTGTCTAAAACGTCTGTGAAGGAAATGAACTATAATGATAATCTTTTATGCAGATCAGACACTGTTAGCTTTAATATTTATTTGGAGGGGGCTGTTAAGACAAAAGGCATGTCTATTTTGGAGATAACTGATGCATGTAAATATGAACTCACCAATATTTTCCAGGATGGATTGGTCCAGCCAACTTCTCCGCCTTCTTAACCAAACGATCCGGTATGATATGGCCATTCACAGAAACATTACTCCTACCACGCTCATCCTGATTCGATCTGGAAAAATCTTTAAAGCTCTTCTTGATAATGTTTGCAAAAAATGAATCGCTCCCCTTGTTGATTTTCAACTGACTATCTTCTCTATTTGCATCCCCAGAATCTTGTGAGACCCCAGTATTAGCGTACTCATGGAACGGTACCTCTATCTCAGTAGCCAGAGATGCCTCTTTCATAGAATTTTGTCGCGCCGCACCTTTGTTTGTTATCACCTTTTCTTGGTCTGAGCGACTACTTCGGTTCCCCTTCCCAAGTCGGTTCACCACATTATTATTAGATGAGAAATCAAAATGCTGTTGGAGAGGTGAACCTGCAGGTGGTGGAGATAGACTAGCTTTAATTGGCTCCTGAACAGAGTTGATGACCTCTCTAGGAGCAATTAAAGCATCTGGACTGTTTTCATCCTCAGAGGTGCTAAGAGATGAAGTATGGAAGCTATTCATCTCTTGATGCTTTATTGAATTCAAACCCTGCCCAGTTAAAAATGCATTTGGTTCTGAATCTATCGTTTGGAAGTCATAACCAGAATTATCATAATCATCAGAAGAGAAATTAGCATTTATCCGACTCATCTGGCCATGGGAGTATGAAGTACTGTCTTTAATTATCTCAGTAGAGCTATCATTGACCTCTGTGGGAAAATGTGTCGCTTCTGTATTAACAGAGAGAACAAGTTTCTTGTTTACAACAGCAAAATTGATGACTGTAGAACATGCACCACATCGAATCTTCTGCTGATTCTTTCCCATAAACAGTACTTTCTTGGGAACTTGCAGCAGCCCAAAGCAATTAAAACAAGTAAAAAATGGAGCACCTCCAGCTATGGGATGGCAGCATCGACCGCCACTGGCCAAGACAACTCTCCTAGGCCGATAACGAACAAAACCACACATTTCAGAGTTAAGATCACTTGGCCATCTTGTATAGGATTGGGGACCACGAAAATTCAATGGAGGAGGAACAGTAGCCCTGGGATCATGATTATGCGGGCCAAATGCCCCGGGGTTTTCATGTTGGTAGAACATGGGATTGTTTGAAACATCAGGGAACCTCTTGTTAGAGAAAGCTGACGGTGGAACAGGCGCTGAAACTCCGTGATGTCTCTCGAAGCAATGGAAACAAGAACAAGAAGGCTGGTGAAAGGTTGCATTGGACGTGTATGGATCAAATGGATCGGGGTTAGGATCAAAGTGATGCCTGGAGAAGTATTGGCGAGGTGGTTGTTTGTACTGACCAGATAACTGAGGTGGAGCTCTTTTGAGCCCAAATGGATCCCCAAATCCAGGAATATGATTTGACTTGTGCATTGAAGGATGAAAATTGTGCATGGCCATTTCATGCCCATTGGTACAAGGAAATGGATCAGGGTGATGATGAAAATAATGCGGCCTAGTTGCATGTTTATCAGGTGCAAGAAACTGCATTGAAGTCCTATCAGGCATCGATGAAGCACTAGGAAACCAAGTATCAGAACCAACATAAGGATCTGAAGGAGCCATCCTTCCATTAAGAGGAATCTTCTCCTTGGGTTTATCAGCCACTTCATATGACCTGCTAAGTTGTTCCTTTAGCTCATCTAGTTTCCTAAGAAGCTCTGCTCGATCTTTTTCAAGGTGTTGAACTCTGTTAGGCCCATCATGGCTGCCATGATTCCTCAAAGGTTCTCCATAACTATAAGAAGAATCCAAATTATAATTAGATGGTCCCTCATCTGGGTAGTTTGAAGTTGAGAATCTCACACCTTCAACCTCAGTTCTCATGACTCTTCGAAACCCCTCCATTTCATCTCTGTCCCCATGTTGCCAGCCTGACATCTGCCCTGATCTCCAAGACCTACTAGTGTGTCTGATTTCAGAATTCAAGTTGCCACGTTCTATTCCCACAGCAGTGCCCAAATTATCTCTGCTTATGCTCGTGTCAAGATCACTTTCAACCACCAATTTGCCACTCGTAGCCTTTGATGGATTCCTACATTTCTCAGAATCAACTATATCACTCTTAGAATCAACTACATCATTCTTCTCAGGATTCTTTTCATCACAACTCAAAGAACCAGCATTTGACTTAATATCCACCTCAGAAGCATCACTCAACTCCACAACTCCCTTTTCAAAGGACTTCTGCAGTTCAGCCGTAACTCCAGTAACAGTAGCTTCATCTGATTTCTGTGATAAAGTATCTGTGTCCTGATTTTTACTTTTTGCTGCAATTTTGCATCAACAAGAATACTCTCAAAATGAAGGGGAAAAAAAACAAATAAAGAACATGAAATTACATTTGTGCCAAATATAACAATGATGCTCCACCAATGGTTGTTTCCTACAATCAAACAGAATAAAGATTCAAGAAATTGATTTCTCATGTTCTCCTACATCTTAACATTAATTTGATAGGGATTAGAAAAAATTAAAGGATAATCGTACATTTCTCTATAAATTATACCGTGAAACCCATTTGAGAGTAACGATCTTCGAATTAAACAATAAACACAATTAAGATTGCATTAGATTATAATAAATTATAAAAGGAGATAACAATTTTGATGCCAAAGTACAAACAACCATACAAAAGGGAAAACTATCTCCAACCATTTCTTTTGACTTCGGGTTATGTAAGAATTCGAATATTTCTATTTTCACAAACCAAAAATTTCCCAAGTTGTCATTAATTAACCAAACAAGGTTGCTAATTAGAGAAATTTGAGCAAAAAGGTACCTCGAAGAACGGCACCGCAGCCGCCACACTGATAAACAGAGTAATCCGCCAGCTCCGGAAGAAGATTTTCACACTTTGGGCACCGCACCAGTCTCACTTTCGTGGAATCCGCCATTGTCGAAACATTCAACTAAGACTTTAAATTAAAAACAATTTTTTCAACAAAACAAAGGAGGAAAAAAAACGACAGCCCAACAGAACAAGCTAAAGACTAACCCTTTAAGGTTCTTAAGGTCACGCAAAACCAAGCCCTTTTCACATTTGCATTAAAAAGAAAGTTCCTTTGAAGCCATAGAACCATAGAGCGGAAACAAAAACTAAAGGGAATGAGATCAAGTGATGATTGAAGAGCTAAAACTTAGTTTTTATCTTAGAAAATGAAACAAAGGTCGAATAGAAAAGAAAAATAAAAAATAAAAAGAAGTAACGCCCGAGTGTGGAAAAAAGCAATTTGTTTGAGCACCAAACGGGGAAGGGAAGATTAAGAAGAAAATAATCTCGGAAGTCTGTGTAGCGAGAAACCTAGAAGTTGTGAAGTACTTTGAAATTCTATTCGAGGATAGTTTTGTTTTTGTGTTCTGAGAAATCTGAGTTTATACTCTGTTCAATTTTGTTCTCCATCTAGAAAGACAGAAAGAGTAGGCAGCCCCACGGCCCCAGTCCACGGATCATTTTCCAAGGTTTAGCAGTGGACAATGAACTAACAAGAAAAGGGGTAAAGCAAAACTCGACAAATGCTAGCGTTTTAGAAAGACGATATGCAGAAACCGACGTCGTATTACAAAAACTTCATTTGTGGAATCGGCGCTTTAAAGATAAAAAGTTAAAGTAAATCGGCGACTTTTTGGGGAATTTGGCTATGAACTCTCCGCTTTTCGCTTCATATCTCGCGTTTGCATCTGAGTGGAAGAAGCAAAAAGTGTATAGAGCAATGGCCTTTGATTTTATTTGGTTCTTTAGCTTTATTCGCTCTGTTTTTGTAGTCTCCCTGACCTGTTAGCGACTAATGAGAGAAAAGCATGGTTTTGGCCGTTGTGAAAAGAAGTGAAAGGAAGTAAAAGAGCTCGTTAAAAATAAATAAATATATACAGTTTATTTAAAAAAATAAAAATAAATGGTAAATAAAATCAACGAGGACTGACAAAAGTCAGGTCGAGTGATGACTGGTCTCTTAGTGAGAAAAGAAATGATTCGGTACAACGATGGCCCACCACAAGAACTCCTTGTTACTGTGTTTCCGAGTCTGAATCACTGCCCTAAAATACACAATCTACCCCTTGACTATTGGAGCCCAAAGATGAGGGTTGATAATGGCCGACACCTAATGCCATTGTAAATGCTTAAATTTATTTATTTATTTTTTTTTACTTTTTTTTATACAAGAGAGAACAGTAACTTTGTTTGCTGCTTTACAGCTTTAAATCATTGTATGGAGTTAAGGAACCACGCCATTCGCTTTTTGTTGTTTCCATATTAATTGAGTTCAATCGAAAAATTAAAGTTAAATATGTTGATGGTATTATGTTATATAAATGTAAGTTGCTGTGTTAGAAGGAATATATTCTCCATGTGGCACCTAACATCACCATCCCGTACAGACAGGTGAGATAAATAAAATAAGGTACACACGTTTGGATTTTTTTTTTTTTTTTTTTTTTTTTTCGGCGAAACTCCAGATATTGGTAAGAAGGCAGAAATCTTCGTGATGCATAATGCTTAGCGTTTTAGTAAAAGTACGGAATTTTTTGGTCAGAAACCGATTTTTCCACGGTCGTATTACGCTAATTTATAAACTTTTCTCTCTATCTTGATGTGTTGCGAATTCGGCGACTTTGGAAAGATTAAAAAAGTTTAAAGTATTAAGATCGGGCGAATGCCATTATATTTGTTGGGATAATTTTGGTCTTATAATGAAATCTCTCGACTTTTTCCGCCTATTATCATATTCTCGCTCGAGTTTGCAATGGAGAGGTGGAAAGTATCATGCCCAAAATAGTTTTTTCTTGATTGAATGGTAGTTGTTTTGCTTATTTCTTTTCAATTTGTGTTAGTTCTTGTTCAGGTTTTTGTTTAGAGGCAATGGTGAATCCTTTGTTGTTATTTGTATTTGGTTGGTTTCTTTAGCTATTATTCGCTTGTTTTTGTAGTCTTCCTGTCTGAACCTAAAATTGCAGTTTAGCGAAACTTGAAATGTGAGACTTGAGAAAGTTAGCTCATTAGGGTTGTTGGCCCGTGTTGTGAAAAGAGTGAAAAGGAAGTTAAAAAGAGCTCAGTTAGGAAAATTTAAATAAATAATAATCGCAGATGCCAGATTCCCTTTCTTTAAAAAAGGATTACAACAACTATTAATGTGTAAATAAAATCATACACACCAAGATCGAGAACTGAGACACTAGACCAGTCTATCAATATTGGTTCGGAGTAGAATAGGGATTTCCTAGGTTCCTAAAATCTTGTTTTAGCTGAGGAAAAGAAATGATTCGGATTGTACAACGATGGAAGAAACGCCGCACCACAAGAACTCCCTTGTTTACTGTGTTTCCAAGCAGTTGCTAATCACTGCTTTTCCAGTAAAAATTACACAATCTACCCCTTTGACTATTGGAGCCCAAAGATGAGGGGGTTTTAGACTCTAATGTACCTTGGAGATGGGCCGACGAGAACCCTACAAGAGGATGCGATTGTAATGCTTAGAATTTTTATTTATTTATTTTTTTTACTTTTTTGTTGATTTACCCAGTATACATTTCAATCCAAAGAAGAAATTTCTTCATTCTCATGGAGAACAGATAAGAACATACATTAGGTTGCTTGACTTTTTATCGAGCTTAGTAAGGCTTCATTTTGTTATGAGTTAAGGAACCACTGTCCGGTGATTTCCCGACTTTTTGTCTTGTTCGTCCTATATTAAAATTGAAGTCTTCAATATGCGAAAATTAAAGTTAAATTGGTCGTTGATGGTATTAATGGTTACTATTAATTAATCTGTATAGGCTTGCTGTGTTAGAAATTTCTGGAATTACTATTCTACGATTGTGGCGAATCCAAAAACTATCCACTTTCCAACTCTGTAATATATTCAGGAGAACGCCGTGAGATATTATCCCAACTACCAAAAGAGATTAATCTTTTGGATACCCACCTAAACGTGTTGGTTATTTTTTTTCTTTTTTTTTTTGATTTTTTTTTGTGTCCAAATTGCTTTTTATAAGAGGAACACAATGGTAATTTCGCGTAACAATAATATTATTGCAATTAATAGTGCCATTTCTTGTTAACATCTCTAACTATAAAAAGTGCTGGTGTCTAAAAATTTAATTCGTCTACTGTGATTGTAAGTCTTTGGGAATCTAGAAATAAAAACATAATTGTCCGAGATGATGGAGTTGAATTGCAAAATGAATCCACAGAACAGAGGTTTTTGAGTTACAACACAAGTAATGTCCAATATGACAATTAAGAACCCAGTTTAGCACATACTGTAATGTCTGATGTAGCAACTAAAAATGGAAAAAAAAGAGTAAATTATTATTTAATTCATGCCTACAACTTTTTAACTGATTTTTACAAGTTCTAACTGTCCTTTATTGTTTTCATCTTTTTTTGCCTAGTTTTTCATCTTCGCAGTTCCATCCTTCATTACATACAGGACCACAGCTTTTCAGTGAAAAGCTGTGAAAGATGTATTTGCGGGGAATAAAATTGATGGTTTGTGACCGATGAGATTTTTATGCTACCCACGTTTTCAACTCTAAATCCATTTATACCCTTTTGTTTTTCTTACGATCTATTGCCTCTTTTTTCTTTTTTTTTAATTTTTAGAATTTCATATAAGTTATTAATCTTTTTTTTTTTTTTTTTTTTTTTTGTGTCAAATTGCTTTTTATAGGAACACAAGGCGTAACAATAATAATTATCAATTAATCTAATATAAAGTGCTGTCTAAAAATTTAATCTTCTCTTACTTTGGGAATCTAGAAATAAAACAATTGTCATGATGGAGTTGAATTGCAAAGAATCCACAGACAGAGTACAACACAAGTATGTCCAATATGACAATATAGCACATGTAATGTGAGACTAAAAATGGAAAAAAAGTTAATTGTTTTCACCTACAATTTTAACTTTTTTACTGTCCTTTTTTTTGCCAGTTTTTCATCTCGCAGTCCATTCATACATACAGGACACAGCTTTCAGTGAAACTGATGAAAGATGTTTGGCGGAATGGTGGGGTTGTGCATGGAATTTTATGCTCCCTTCAACTCTATACCTTTGTTTTTTTCGATCCTCCTCTTTTTTCTTTTTTAATTTTAAATTCAAAGTTCCCATCATTTCCTAATGGGTTTTAACTCTATATCCCAAAAAGTAATAAAATAAAATAAAAGATGACTGGTGCTGATCATAGAATTATAATGGGCCTGTGAAGTGAATATCCACAAAAAAGAACCATTGACGACATGACGTTCACTTAAGGAATATGTTAAAAAGCGGGACCAATCGTTTAGTCAGCACACGAGAATTGTTATCCGGCCGTTGAACGACAGGGCAGTCTCATTGGGAATATTTGTTGTGGTACAAAGCCCAGAACCACAGGCCTTGGGGCTTGCCAAATTCCAATCAGAGAGCCCAAAACTTCTCTTATGGAGGCCCATATCCTAAGTTGCAGGAGCTCACAACGAAACTGTGCTTCTTCATCTCCGCAATTCCACTCGACTTAATTAAGCAGTTTTTCCCCTGTCACACAGTTGACCCAGACTAATTAATTTGTTTTGCATGTGTTGTTTATTCAGATTCTTAGGAGAACAAACTATTACTATACTAATACGTTTACCAAAATTAAAGAAATGAGGTCTTTTCTCATCTACTCTGTTCTCATTGACTTTGAAATGGTTGTTTTTCAGGTCCAAAATAATTTGAGCTCATTATTTCATTATTTACAGCAATATTTCCTAAAATTTACACTTTTTCGTCTCTTAAAAAAACCATTTTATTATTTAATTTGTAATAAATTATTAAATACATTGACTAGATAATCTTTATTTACAATATAAAGAGAGATTTTTAGATATTATTATTTACAAATATAATATTTTTGTAAATGTGATATTTATATGTAAATGGAGGTAATTAACAATTACCAAGTCACAAGTAGATTTGGCAAACCTAAGAAAGTTTCTACCATTTCAATTTCTTGCATTCTTAAATGCACCAACTCATATCAACCCATATTGGCGTATGAATGAATGAATGAATGTAAGATGGTATTATTGGTAATTGAAGGGATGGCTTTCAAGGTTAAGCTTTAAACCGTGAATCATCTATCGTCACACGCTCACATTGTTAGAGCACAAAACACGTGCGTACGTATAGCTATACTTGAGTTGGAGAAGCCTGATGCAGATCACGCAAATGCAGTGCCAATTATTTCCATCCATCTCACATCACTTTATATATGAGTAAGGTTATAAAATGGGTTTAGGCTATTTGTAAATTAATATAATTGAGCTCAGTTAATTTCAAAAATTACTAGACGCAAAAAAGCAAAAACAAAAACGTAATATTTATAAAATAGAATATATATGGGAGCTTATCATAAATTTTGCATATTAAGTTCTGTAACAACTGGAAAGGAGATACACATATTATAATACAGTTGAGTTTTTTTTTTTTTTTTTTTTTTTTTTTTTTTTTTTAAAATGGGTGGTTAATCTAGCGAGCTGTGATTTTGTAAAATTAAGGGAAATGTATAATTTGAGCTCAGTTTAATTTCTTCACAAAAAATTACTAGACGCAATAAAGCAAAAGCTTAAAATACAAAAATACATCGTAATATTTATAAATAGAATATATATGGGAGCTTATCAAAATAAATTTTGGCCATATTAAGTTCTGTAACAACTTGGAAAGGAGATAACACATATTATAATAAAACAGTTGAGAGAACGTTTTTTTTTTTTTTATTTATTTTATTATTTTTTTCGTTTGAATGAAGACATTTACACTCTTAGGCTACCATTGAACAAAACAGAATCAACATACATTAATCATGATTTAATTAATTCTTAATATTGATTGAAATCAATATTCTCCTTTGGTATTATTATGTTCAGTTACCTGTTTTTTCTCACTTTTTATCTTTCCACTTTTGTTTCCTGGTAGATATTAAACGACAACTTGCAAAAGAGGAATTCAGATTTGACCTTCTTAGCGGAGAGCTCCAATTGGCAGGATATTCCTGCTTCTTTCTCCCACAAACCTTTTGTTCACTTTTCAACTATGACAATCCTTCTAAAATTACCTTTTTTTGTCGGACCATATGAAAGAGAGTCGATTCATGATTACAATCACCCGGCAGCGGCGTGCTCCCAACGAACATTAGTCGCCGTGGGTGTGGTGTGGAAGGGTATTCGATTTTTAGTTACTTTTCTTTGCATGTTTTAATCTTTCTTCGATCCTCCTTCCAAGGAGAGTGGCAATGTCATTGATGGCGTTCAAATTAAGATAGCTAACAGAAACCAATTCATTACTACGTAACTCACAAATCCTATGTAAAAGGACTGGCCCAATCCCAAATAGCATATATTAGTCTTTCAGCGTACTTTTTCTTCATTCATTCTATTCCCTTTTTTTTTTTTTTTTTTTTTTTTTTTTTTTTTGAAGAGACATTAACTCTTGCTACCATTGAACAAAACAGAAATCACATTACATAATCATGATTAATTAATCTTAATATTGATGAAAATCAATATTCTCTTATATTATTCAGTTACCTGTTTTTCTCCTTTTTCTTTCACTTTTTATATAAACCGCAAAAGGATTCAGATTTGACCTTCCTAGGTCCAATGGCATTCCTCTTCTTTCTCCACAACCTTTCCTTTACAAATCCTCTAAAACTTTTGACCATAGAAGATCGATCATGATTACAATCACCGGCAGCGGCGGCTCCCACGAAAATAGTCGCCGGGTGTGGTGGAGGGAGTACTTTTCTTGATATTAACCTTCTCGATCCTCCTCCAAGAGATGGCAATGTCATTAGATGGCGTTCAATAAGATAGCTAACAGAAACCAATTCATACGAGTCATATAAAGGACTGCCCAAATCCCAAATAGCTAAAGCAGCGTACTTTTCTTCTTCTTCTTCCTCTTTTTCCATGGATTTTCCTTCTGACGTCTTTTTCATGGCAAATATTTGCAGAGTTAAATCTAAAGAACGACTCTTCTTTTTGGTTGCCTTCTGACCGGCTTCTACAACAGAGATCTCATTGGAGTATTTATTTAAGCTTTGCCGGGCAAGTCAGTTTTCCAAAGATACCCCTTATTACCAGGAATACGTATTAAAAATATGAGGGTAATATTGTCTTTCGGCACATGAAATTAAATAATGTGCCTCCAAAACGGTAGAAGTTGGGTGAACAAAAAGACAGATATGCTCATTCTACAAAAAAGAAAAAGGGTGTTTACAACCTAAATCAATTACTATAATTGTATCTATCCCAAAATCAAGTTCGTGCATTCCCTTCTCTTCATCAAATATTTTATAATTATTCTTTAAATATTTGATAATTATTCTCTGTATTTGGAAATAAATTGTGCATGGCTGTTATATAAGTCAATTTTCCAAAAAAAAAAAAAAAAATTAGCAACCAGTTTTAGCTAGAAATAGAAATACGTAAATAGACAAAAGATAACAATAGAAATTTACCTTTTAAATGAGAATTCACATTTTCAATTTCATCCACTAACCGGTCTGTAAAAATAATTAAGAATAATATACTCTTACTTTCAATTAGTAAAACTCGTCAATAATAGAAAAACCATGTTTAAAATTTCAATTATAGTAGAGTAGTGGTTATATCAGCATGACGACAATAGCGAAAATGACAATAATGGTGGTATTCTAAAATTTTAACAAGAAAGACTAATATATGTTTGCAATCGTAATAGTTCTTGAAATTTTCTTGATCATTAATGCAAAACTTGACTCATCATCTCCTGCTAGTCGAATTCAAGTGCTTATAAAGTTATTATGTGTGCTAAATTTAAAAAGAAGAATTATATATTTCCATTGGGATATGCAGGTTATATAATGCTGAATTTGTTTTCTTTTTTAAGGTTGCAAACCAATTATGAGCTACATAACCAAAATTATTTTTTTAGGCCAAGCCCTTTAGCGCGGGCTTCAAGCCGAGTGCCGCATCCCATTCTATAGGTTCGAAAGCAATTGTTATTCATATGAATCTTAATATATATAATTTTTGTCTAGATTCATTCATCATCATCCTATCAATGGATCCAACTAGTAAGTAGTAATTTTGATTTTGTTAACTACCGAAGTCGCAATCTTGGTCCAACGACATGTGTATCGGCCAGCCTTGACGAATGAGACAAGAAGCCAAAGTCCAGTTTGAGCCGCGAAAGAAAAGATAAGTTTGGAGTTTGACGAGATGAGGGAGAAAATAACAGCGTTGCTGATAAAAACCTAAGCTTATTCGAGTATACTATAAACCAATTATGAAATAACATTTGTCACATTTATATTCACTAAAAGGCATTACTAAAAAAATTCTTGACAACATTATTGTTTAGGATTTGCAACACTACGTTGTTCGTGGGAGCGACGCATCGCGGGGTTTTGAACTGGCTAACAACAGTTCCTAAACCCAGATAATGATCTAGAATTTTCTGGAAAGTTCCTCTGCGAACTACTCGAAGCTCAAGGGGTCCAATAGCATTGATCTTGCGAGAACTAACGTAACCTGCATCAAGGAAAGATCGATCCAAGCAATTGCAACACTCTTTCAAGATCTCATCAGTTGGTTCTTTATTAATTTCCCAGAAGATCACGTAATGCCCAGGCTCTGTTGATAGATCCACTAGGCTACTAAAATCGACAACTTCAATTTTCTCTTCAGCTAATAGCTTTGCTGCTTCATCTACTGCTAAGTGTAAGTCTTTCTCACTGTTCTTATCAATGTTTATTGTAAGCAGTAAGCTTGTCCTGCATACGAATTTTAGTTCTGGGGTTGAGTTATGGAAGCCCACGATTTTCACAACATCTCCTAGTCTATACCTGTACAAACCTGCAGTTTACAGTTTAAGGTTAAACTTTAAGCACAACAGTGAAAATGATCTGAACGTTTATCATTAATCGTTCAAGTAGACAAACAAGGAAAATATCCAAAATGGAAATTACAGAAATCTGTAGATCTAGATTCGACAGCCAAATAGCTAAAGTACAAGACATCGAAAAAATAATAATTTTTATTTGGCCTGTGTATTATTGTTCATTTAGTATTATTTTATTTTAAATCCATCACAAGAGGCAGTATAGTTAATAGTTCTATGTGGTCCTGTTCAAACTTTCCTCCACTCCACCCCACCTCACCCCACAGCAGTAACTCAAGAGTCAAGACAAAAAAGGCATCACCTTCCATATACCTACCCCTCATTTGTATATCATATCATATTTCTTTTTAAAAAACATGATATATATGTTCCATTTACTTGGTATCTGGTGAGGACCAAAAGACCCCTTTCAGCCAATGTTTCTAATGTTGTCAATCTAAAATGTGTTAACTTTGGTACTCCGTTATCAAAAGATTTTGAACAAGTAAACCACTTGGTTTTGAAAAGGACAATTAAGAATAGCTTTTCCTAGATAAAGTCATAAAGCCTTGGAAGACAAAGGAAAAAGCAAAACAAATATATATATATATATATATATAACAACTCGGCAGTCACGCAGAGAGAAGAAACTTAGACCGCAGGAAAATTAAATATTGCACAAATGAAACACATCAGGAAATAAAGATTTTAACTTTATGTACTCAAAACTGAAGATTTTAGGGTCAGATTTGATTGGGGTAAAGCCGAGCCAGAGTGTACGTTCCTGCTTTCGTAATACTCAGAAGCATGACCAATGCAATATTAACCAATGATCTGATTTTGAGACTCTTTTGTACGAAGCACATATGATCCTATTGTGGTTTCCTAATATTGTGCAACACATGAGGACCAAAGAAATAAAAACAACCACACCTGGGGATGTGCATGCATCTTACTATCTTAAATTCTCAGCCAAATGGGCCGGTCAAGTCAAATAGTTCCCATTGGTGATGGTGATACCGTAGACAACAGAACATAATAATAATTGAAAAAACATTATAGTATGGAGAGCAGAAACGTTTTCTTCAGTATAGAAGCTATTTTTCCGGGTTTCCTAAACTCACATGGGTTGTACAAACTTTGGCTTGCAGATATCCAATAAATGGCATTTATTAACTAGCCAAGTCACAAATAACTGCATCAACGGATGAAAATGTTTCTGCATCATTGACTTCAAGAATACTTGATTAATTTAATTTAATATAGGTCTGCAGTGAGTAGACTAAATATATTTCAGCAGAGTTTAAATCTTCAATTATTTATGCAAGACATCTAACATCTAATTTCATATTGAACTTAAATGCATTAAGGATTCTTGATACTAATATCTAATTCCGAAGAAAGAATTCAACCAAAAAAACATTAAAACCATGATTACCTCCAAAATTGGTGACAATTATCTCATACTCTTTTCCAATCTTGACTTCGGTCAAACCCACTGGCTTGGGCTCTGAGTAGAGGTGCTCATCCATGTCTCCAACAGGAATGAATTCAAAATATCCAATATTAGGCAACACAGCAAAAGTAGCCAGTTCTGGAGGCAACTTCGGGTTGACGTTTGCTGCAATCCACCCCTCTGAGGCACCATAATCGGCACACAGCAAAGGCACCTCGCCTGCATAGTGCCTCAATTTCTTCAAATAAGGCTCCATCGACCCAGTCATTATTCCATAGATATACTTCACATTAGGAAAGAGTTCTGGTATTAATCCATACCAATTATTCAATCCTGAGCATTTTCTATGGATCAAATCAGCCAATTCAGGGTTTGGCTTGAGCACTTTGGACATTGCTGTTCTGATAGAAGGTGCAGTTACTCGATTACTAAGTTCACCATCCCGAATATCATTACAGAGCTCTTGCCAGACTTGTTCAAAGGTTCTAAATGCAATAACAATGCTATGAGCAAATGTAGAGGACACGAGCTCAATTTCTTCAGAAAAGATTAATCCGCATAAGAGATGGCAGTATAATGATTGATGGAAGTCAGGACCAAATATTACTTCATCTGGACTGCAGCATTTGGAGTTCATTGCCTCCATTGCAGTTTTGTAGTTCGGATTGCGAAAGAGATTTGATGTGGCAGTTCCAGCAGCCAAACCTCCCTTTGTTTTCGTAGGCTTGCTGCCATAGTTGAACTGCAAGGCTTTTCCATTCCCAACAGGGAAAGCTCTGCACCATACAAACGTCTAAGCGTTAACAGAGAACTAATTAACCAATAACTGACAACATTGATTATGTGGCCAAATTCCAATAATAATGAATGGTAGATAATACATTTATCATCGTCACAGGAAATGGCAAAAACCAAGAGAACTCAAAGAGTTTTCTAGTAAGCAAAAAATCACATTTATACCTGTTTCTAAAGGCAAAAGAAGTTCTAAATATCTGCAAGCTGTTGTCCATCAATTCTTCAGTGAATGGCACATATTTTCGTCTTCCCTGAGTAGTACCTGAACTGCAATAATCCATATTTCTCAAATTTAGAAACTTGATTACATAGATTAAGAAATAATTATAAAAAATCACGAAATGATCAAAATTGAATTAGCTCATACGTTAAAGATATGGTTTTTATAGGCTTTCCAGTGAGTACAGGAGAAGAGTCTCCATCTGCAATTCTTTGAATATAAGGTTCCAAGTCCTTGTGAGTAACAAGCGGAACGCAATCTCTGAAACTCTCCGGATCAGTTCGTCCGTTGAGACCCAGATTCTTTAAGTACTCTGCAGATGCATTCTCTTCCAGAATCTTCTTAAGAGTCTCAAATTGGACCCTCTCTGCATCTTTAGTTATTGCTTCAAAATCCTCTATCACTTTATTAACATCAAGTCCTTCCATTTTCTTCTCTAACATATTCACTAAACTGCACTAGAAACAAAAATAAAATAAAATTTGATGCAAATGAAGCCAGTTTCAGGAACTGATCAATGGTTGTAATCAAGATGATTGAACCTAACGACAAAAGTCGGTAATTAGGACCCAATGAGAAATTAAGAACGTATGCTTGCTCGGAAAAAGCCAGACAGTTACGGCACACTTAGATAACAAATAATTTCCTTATTATCAGTAAGGGCCACATTCTGAGAAGATAAAAAGATTTGACGGCAAAAACAATTCTGCTAATTTAATTTTGAGATATAAATTATTTCTCAATCAAGCTAACCAAAACCTCCAGTCAAACGAGCGGACGAAAATTCAGAATTAAAAACTCGATTTTGTTTCTTCCTTTTACCTGAAGAGTTATCTGCAGGAAATGGAAATGAGCAATCAACAAAGTGTTTGGCCACGCACAGATTGACTTAAAGGAGAAGTGGAAAAAACGATTAGCTGAAATTATATGCAGGTGATGGGTTTGGCGTCAAAATCTATAGAGCGAATCACTAACAATCCTTGATCGGAGTGACCATAGATAACCAAGAAACTCGAAAGCTTTTTGGTCTTTATTGGCGAATAGTCAACAAGGTCAGCTTCAGAGAATTTTCCAGGAAAGTGAGGAAATGAAATGTGAAGCATAAAATAGACGGGATTAACTCAATGAGAAACCAAAGTTGAATTCATTAAAACCGAGTTGAAGTTCGAAATTAAAGTCCTTGTAAGCATTTAGGAAGTAAAATAAACATAAAACAAAAAAGTTAAACAGCAAAAAAGGAAAAATCAATCAGTGAAAAAGGAAAAACGATAAAGAACAACGGCAAAAGGAGACTCTGACCATAAAATACCAAGCAGTTCCGAGACAGAGACAGAAAATCAACACAAGAACCAAAATCTATAGAGAAAATAAAAGGAAAAGAGAAAATTCATTCAAATTCAAATAGAGAACAGTAGAAATTACCGAGAGAGAGAGAGAGAGAGAGAGAGAGAGAGAGAGAGAAATATACACAAGATACAGAAACCCAGCAAGAGACAATACCTGTAATCGGACTTTGGAAGAAAGAGAGAGAGCAACTTCCAGCAAAAAGACAAACAGAGAGAAAGCGGTAAAAGAACTTTTGGGCAGTGGCGGTTACTACAATGGCGAAGGCGAGTACTTCAAAGTAACGAATTTATATAGAAAAGGAGCAGAAAGAAAAAAAAAAGGAGTTTCAGCTAAAGACGTTACAATATCACGATTTCGATGATGCCCCGTGCCCGTAGCTCTCGCTCTCTCTGCAGCTTATCCCAGTGTGTGAGCTACTATAAGCCAAATGTGTTGTGAGAGAGAAAAGCGTAGTTTTGACTGACCTTAATTTTTTGGGTATGGTGGAGGATATTGGGAGATGAGCGGAAGATTCTTCTGGGTTCGCATTATATATAGGCGCAATGGCAAATGCCGTCCACTTTTAGCTACTCCATTTCTTTCGATTTTTAACTTTCCCATTCTGTCCTTGGCTTGTTTGCTGCCGCTGCTTGCTATTTTTGGATTTTTCTATTCTTTTTTCTTACTTGGATGTAAATTTAAAAACATATATATCCGAAGCCAAATAGATGATTTTTCGTGGGGCCCTAACGAGAAACAGGTACAAGATTCTGAGCAATAAACATTGCATCCCAATGCCTTTTTAATTTTCCACTATTTATATTTAGATTTTGTGTCTTGTTTGGATTTTTTTGGATTTTCCGCTTATCAATTTAATTAATAAAAATTATAAATTTTTTATTTTTCATATTATATTTTTTCTTACGAAATAGTCAAAACTACCTTTATTTCAGTAAAAAAAAAATTACTTTTATTTATTTAGTTCATAAATTTATTCATTCATTGATTGAGTTAACAAATTAATCTTTATGATAATTATCCAGAATAATAAATACGAACATAATTTGAATATGAATATAAGATATAAATAAATTTCAAAAATAAAATAGAATGTGACATACCCGATACTTTACATTAAAAAAATAATATATTAATAAATTCAAATAGCAAACAATCATTATAAAATCAACCCTCCCTAATTTTGATTTCAAAATTACTAATTAATTCCTTAATATTAATGTCATAATTAATTCCATAAAAGATAAAAGCATTTGCTTTTAGAATTAGAAATATCACAAGATTTTGCCTTTTTCCCTCACAAAGCCAATTATAGTTAAATAATATGGTGCATATCCCCTCATCATCTTACCTAGTAAAATTGGAAAATAATAAAAGTTTTGAATATTTCAAAGAGTATTTCTATCTCTTTTTTAAATATGAGACTAATCCTATATAAAGCAGCATAAATTTAAGAATTATAGAAAGGAAAATAGTTATTATTGGATTCAGTAGATAAATAGAAATACAAAATTAGAAAAACCATAATTAGTGTTCCTTAATTATTTCAAAACGACAAACAAAAATAGATAGAGGAAGTAATAAGGGTAATAATATGTGGCTGCCAAATGTGATACGTAGGCAATAATGCGAGTTCCATTTGTGAGTGGGTAACAGATTAGTAGTGGGTGCAGGACTATAATATAATGAGTTGGGGGCCTAATGGGCAATTTCAAATTTTAATGGGGCAAACTGTAGAAGAATCGTGGAATCCCTTCTTCTACATAACCCATTTCTTTTAAAAGTGGCTACGTGTAATTTATTTTTTGATTTATCGGATATAATAAGTAGTTGAAATAAAAAAAATGAATTATTATATTCAATATAGTTTAAAAAACTCCATGAACTTTTGAACAGATCAGAAAATAAAAAATTTCGACAAAATAAAATAATTAAAATATTATTATTATTATATTGTTGACGAGAAAGTGATAATGAATAATAATAAAAAAATAAAAACTATGCATCTATTACGGAAATCGCACTATTGAATATATTATAAAAAATAAAAAATAATCGCACTATTTATAGTATGGAGAGAGAGAGAGAGAGAGTCAATGAAATAAAGGAGAAGTGCATATCCTTAACAATAAACGAATAGATCTTATTGGAGCCAATGGAGTCAAGTCATGAAATATACCTTAGCCTTGGACATTTACGCAATATTTGAATTCAACATTTTAAAATCTATGTGTATCAAAAAATTGTTTTTTGAAATAAATAAAAATTTTAAATAATTTTTTCTTCATTAAATTGAGGAATTTGGTGTTAGTATAATTGCATCTGTCACTTATAATTTCTTAATTCATCAGAACGAATGATAAAAAGTAAATTTTCTTTGAGCTTTTTTCGATTAAAACATAGTTTAATTTATACAAATTCAATAAACCATGCCTCATATTATCGAAAAGAAAATAATAAAATAAACTTGGGATTAGGTTTTTAATTAATTACATCATTTTCTTTCATGCATCAATATGATAAATATAAATTTTAAATTATTCTAATTACTTAATAGTGAAAATTACATTTTTTTGTTAAGGATAACCTTATTTGTCCATTTTAATATATCAATTCTCAACTTTTTAGGTCTTTGCTAGATTAGGGTTGCACCTATGCAAAAAATGTGTAGGTCCAACACAAAATTTTATGAATAATAATTAATTAATTAAATTAGATGGATAAGTTTAGGGTTTCCATATGCTTAGAACTAGAAGAGGACAAGGCAGTGTAGTGTTGTCGAGAAGAATGTCTTATTTAATTATTTTTTATTCGAACCCAATAATAAATTACTTGCAAGTTGCTACATGGATGTGAAATATATATATATATATATATATAGATAAATAAATTGACTTGCAAGTGCTACAATGGGTGAATATTATATATTAATATATATATATATATATATATGTGATAAAAAATTAATTAATTAACTAATATTCCAGCTGTAAGGATAAAAATATAGCTCGTTTCCTTAAAAATCAAGAACTTGATGCGACATTTCCAAATGTAATAATTTGTTTGGGATTATATTATAATCAGATTTTTTTGCGTTCTACATAATTGTTCCGTTTAATGTAAATGAATTTAAAATATAAAATTCATCTGTGAATAAATTATTCATATTTAGTATGATTCATTTAAAATATATAATTCAATTGAATTTCATGTAATTACGTATAAAACAAATTTATAATTGAAAATTTATTTGTTTTTATTTCATACAATATCTTTAAAATTATAATTTCATAAAAATAAACAATAAATACCAATTATATATATATTATGCTATATATTTTTTAATATTTTTATTAAAATAAAAATAATATTAGTAAAATTATTAATTATTACATTTAATTTAGTGATAAGTAGTGATAAATGTATATTTAACTTGAATCTCTCTCATATATAGTAAAAAAATGCTAAAAAATATTAAAATAAAAAATAATTAGAATAAAACACAATAATAAGAATTTTTTTCAAAAACATAAATTTTTAAAAAAGTTTTGGTGAAGTTTGCTAAAATAAATAATTAAAATAATTAAAAAGGTGGAAAAATTGACTTTGTAAATAGAGAAAGATAGTTTTGTCATAAAAGTTAAATTGCTTAGTTTTGTGAAATTCATTTGAAAATTCTACTTATTTTTGTAAGATTTAGTATAATTTTGTCCAATTTCATGGAATTGAATTCCTCTAATTGAAATTTATATTTTTTTTATTCCACTTATATTATATAATATAGTGAATTAATATTTACATATTTTTTTCTCTTCATTTTGGAGGGAAAGATACTTTTTATTATTTCCTCAATTTTCTTTTTTTTTATTTTCTTAAATGAAAGAAAAGAAAAACCTTTTTTTTTTTTTTGGGCCAATCCAAACAAATGGTTGTCACTTTTCACCAAATTACAATGTACACGAAAAAGTGTTTCACTGTTGGCTGATTCAAAAGGAACAAGATTCGTTTTTACTTTGCGGCTCTCTCTGTGTTTTTCTTCGACAAGAAATATTTTAATTTATAAAAACTCAAAATGGCATACTTAGTTACATTCTAATCCCATCAACTAATTAATCCACCTTAAATCCAACTAATTAAATACATTTGCATGCCAATTCAAAACAAACATATATATATATATATATATTATATAAGAAAAAGTGTTAAGCATATCTTATCTTTTCTTTTTTTTTTTTTTTTTTATCTTTTCTTTTTTTTTTTTTTTTTGTCCCCATTCTCATGGAAACTAAGTAATTGTGATTTTTCAGTGATACCTTACTGGAATTGTTTTTTTTTTTTTTTTTGTCCCCATTCTCATGGAACTCAAGTAATGTGATTTCAGTGATACTTACTGGAATTGAAGCATTATATTCTGTTATTTTGGTTGAATAATATTATTAAGACTAATCTTCATATTCTGAATTATACCGTACTGAGAGCTTGGTCCACCATATTTTATTATTAATTCAAAGTCAGACTATTGATTTATTGTTCAAATTTTCTTCAGTTGAAATGATTATATACCTAATCCTCCGTACATCCAAATGCAATTAACCTTTCTGTTCGTATAATTCACTGTATTTGTTAAAAAAAACAAAATGGACGTGCATGCATGAAGTTGTTTTTTCTACTTAATTCATTTATTCTTCGTTCCAGGCCGATACATTAAATTATTATTTTTTTAGAAAACTGTGTGCATTTTTTTCACATTTGAAAACTCTTTGATTGTTTTTTAAATAAAAAAAAAAAACATAATTAGACAATATATGCAAATTGAAATGCATGATTACTTTAAAAAGTTGATACATATGTTTTCTTTTTAGAAAAATCTAAACAAATTGACATCATTAACTATTTTTCATGTATTTATAGTAAATTTATTTGTTTTTTCTGGTCAACAAGTAATCTATCCGTGAAATAAAGTAAAGATTAGTTAAATATATAATTAATTAGACGTGACTTGCACCACCTTATCTTTTATTTATTTTTTATTTAACATTACATCTTATCTTCGTTTTCGATGGAGAAATTAACTTATTAAAAATTAAATAAATATTTACACTTTGTATAGCCAGTGCATTTGCGGGCCACTTACACTGCCAGATGAACGGTGGATGGCAGTTAGGTCCAAATTAATTAACAATTTATTATTTTGTTAAACTAGTATGCACATGTGATGTGGGGTTATAACATATTTATAGATATTACCATTAAGAATTAACTGAAGAAGAAGGGTTCATTTTTTTTTTTTTTTTTTCATGCACGTGTCTACCATGTTGATTAGTATTGATCTATAAACTTAAATTAACTGTCTTTGACCAGCACTGTGTCGTATTGTGGATAGTGTTTTGTTTCTTTCGATATATAGTTTACATTTAATCCAAAAAAAAAAAAGAAAAAAATGTTTTTTTTTTTTTTGTGTGCATCTTCGTTTTCTTTCTATGGGCTGGACTAATAGCTATAGAAATTATCAATTAATCATAGAAAAGTTAATAATGATTTGATTTTCGACAGTGATAATGTAAAATCTCAAATGACAATGATTTGATTTTGGAGACTGTAAGACAAATATTTGATTCTCAACAGTGTGAGCAATTATTTACAGCCAAATAGATATTACACAAATGCTTTTGAATCAGAAAGCTACACGAGGTGAAGGTATCTAAAAGAGAAAGTGTAGAGATCACAGTTTATAACAGTAATGATTTGGGAATTTTGGAAAAAGGCAGCCCTTTTTCAAAGTGCATATCTGTTTTTGCCGTTCTGAAAATATGCCTTTCTTTCTACTTTGGACTTTGCAGACACAGAATGTAGTCATCTAATATAGACATTGTACCTACAAATCCCAAATCTTTATCTTCTCTTCCTTACTAATAATTATAAAAAACAAGTGAATATCCCTTTGCTATTTACATTCAGCGTGCATCTTTTGCCAGAATTACACTCTTTACGAGAGTTTTAGTTGCATTACTTATAGTCGTAGACAATGCTAATTCAGGATTATCTTTTATTTCAAGTTGTAATTTGTATTTTGAACCGGAAACTTTATTTTTTACTAAATTTCTATTTTTATTTATTCACACAGACCATAAAATTAATTGGTGAAATGTGTGGATACAGCAGAAGTTACAATACAATTTACCTACAGCAACTGAATTTGATTGAAGAGATTGCCAGTTGTCAGACTATTATGGTTAATTGTTTGGAACGTAGAAACAGTTTAAGGACCTTACAAGTCAATATCAAAGTCGCTGGTGGTGAGAAAATATAATGACAGTACAAGAATCGCAGAACAGTGGAGGCGTGAAAAAAGGCCTGTGGTGGGCTTTGCCGCTATGGCGCTGTTGTGGTTGCCACGCACGATCCAAATAGGCAGGAAGGAAATGATTTAGTCGAGATAAATTATGCACTTTGTATGTGGCTAAGTGCTGTCTTTCTCAGTGCAAAATCTTCCAATCGGGTTCCAGAACTGTACATATGTATGTCCTTAATTTAATGGAGAGTGATGAACTTGATGACATGAAATTGCTAGACTAGTTGCAGTTTCATGATCTATCAACATTAAAGTAAAAACAGATTGACTTAATACTGTTAATTTTCGAAAATTTTAATTCAGTGACATTAATTTACTTTTAGGATTGTGAAATTACATGTTTAAATTCCAATAATTCATAAAGAATATAAATTTTGATTCTTAAAATTATATAATAAAATTAAAATTAATAAAATTTTAGTTTATTTTTTAATAACGGCGCCTGAAATTTTCGTTCAGTCATTTGCTAGTGAGATTCTTGTGGGACACAAAGATAGTTGGCTATCCAATTGAAAGATACACATATTAACGTCATGCCTTACATAGATAAATGGTTTTTTTTTTTTTTTTTTCTCAAAATAAATAGAATCTATTTATTCCACAAATTACAGAATCCCATAAATTTATGTATATATTTTATTAATTCAAAATATCTCTAAAAAAAATGAAAATAAGAAAAGAAAAAGAACAATCATCCAAAGGAAGAGGTGCACGTGATCCATAGACTATTCCATTTCGGCTGCAAACTCGGTACATGTCCATAAAAAGCCAAAAAGATATATTTCACGTGATACATGTTGTTGGATTATCTTCAGCATATGGCCATTTCTTTCCCTTTCTTCCCTTTTTGTTGGTGTTCTAACAATTTTTTATACCAGCAAGAACCATCTTTTGCTTTAAGAACCGACCACATTGGAAGTATATGCACACACTATTATTGCCAGAAAATTTGGTTCTACATTGACTGGTTTAGCTTTTTCTTATTAACTTTATGTTAATGGTCTTCATCATCATTTACGAATGGATAATTTTCTTGATTAGTGGAATATTATGATTAAGTAAGCTGCATATTAAAATTACAAGCTAATGGGTCAATTTAAAAGCACTCATCTTTAACATTATCCTTACATGTTTTTTGGGTCTCTTACGTTTGTTCTTTTCGACTGAATTCCAAATGGCAACCTGCCAACTATATTATTTAAAACTTAAGACAACTGTTTGGTGTCTAAGAAAACGGTCCTTTCCTTTGTCCTTGCATTGAAAGAACATGGTTATCATCTATGAGCCAGAATTATTTTAAATATTATATAATATAATGGATAATTATTAGATGTTTTTCTCCAATAAATAAACAAATAATTTTCATTTGGTACTACTTTATTGTTTTTATTTATGTGCACAAATACTCTCATTTTGAACTAAAAAATTTTTGGTTTGAAAATTTTTCTACTGATAAATTCGACATGAAAATTTTTGGTTTGAAGAAAAATAAGGGAAGAAAGAAAATGATTTTGAAATTGAAAAAACAATTTCTTTCAACTCACTAAAAAACATAGTGGTTGAATAAGTTATAAGCGTGTGCCTAACCATCATTACACCCATACTAAAAAAATAAAATTATAAGTTGAAAGATTCCTCTACTTTTTTTTTTTTTTTTTTTTTTTTTAAATTTTGGTTTGAAGAAAAATAAGGGAAGAATAGAAAAATGATTTTGAAATTGGAAAAAACAATTTCTTTCAACTCACTAAAAAAATAGTGGTTGAAATAAGTTATAAGCGTGTGCCTAACCATCATTACACCCATACGTAAAAAAATAAAATTATAAGTTGAAAGATTCGCTCGTAACTTTTTTTTTTTTTTTTTTTTTATTTCGTTTCACATTCACACGTATAAATTTCTTTTATTATTTAGAGAATTAAAAGGGACTAATTACCAAGGTTGACTTGGTATATTCAATTGATAATTATTTTTTTAATTAATGCATAATTCTATTGTTTGGGTAGACCCAGACAAATATATCTAGCTGTGAACTTTTTTTTTTTTTTTTTTTTTTTATTCGTTTCACATTCACAGTATAAATTTCTTTATTATTAAGAGAATTAAAAGACTAATTACCAAGTTGACTTGGTATATTCAATGATATTATTTTTAATTAATGCATATTCTATTGTTGGGTGACCAGACAAATATATCTAGCTGTGAACAGTAAAAAGTAAAAAGTAAAAAGTAAAAAGTAGGTTCCTTTGAGCCAACCCAAATCCGTGAGCGATGTTGGCAGCCAAAAATTGGCATTTCAATTTGAATTTGAAACCAAATGGGTAAAAAAGCTACTCGTCCTTCGACATTATAATTCTCACTCTTGTCTGAACTTAGATATATGGCGGCTGATTTTGAAACCTACATTCATGGAATGCATGCATCAACGTCCTCAATTACTTTTATTCTTTTTACTAATCATTTCAATTAGTTCCCCACAGCATAAAAATAATCCTCAAAAGCATCTCTACTTTAATTCTTTGGGGTTTTGCCTGTATTGGGCTGTGGCCCATTATTCCTTCTTAATGATCATTTTTTTTTTCTTTTGGACTGAACTTAATGTCATCTACCCCATCTCTGTAATAGCAGATGGCCCATATGAAAGCCCAGTCACTAAGATTTTTGTTAGCACTGAAACTTAAAAAATGAAGAAAGCCAACCAAGTTAAGTACAACATTCCTCGTAAAAACAAGTTTGCAATGAAAGTACATAGTCTATGGATTTTTAATTTTTTTTCTGTTTATTTATTTTTTTATTTATAAGTTTCGGTCGGTCGAGGAAAGAAATCCGCAACTACTTCTTTTCTTGCTTCCCTTTTCCCGTCCTTCCAACCAAACAGAGAGTTATCCTTTGCGATGACGTGTGTAGCTTTGAACGCCGTCCAACTGCTCAACCACAATCGTTAGGTTTCCGTTATCTTTCTGGTGGGCCCCAATGCAAAACAGAAGCAGTAAAAAGAAACCGTACGTATATCTGACTGTTTATTGTTTAGTGCTCGTTAGGTTTCTATTTATAGACCTTTTTTGTTAAATACCCTTAGATCCAGGCAGCCCATCATCATATAATGTTCCCTACTTCACTTTAACTAAGCCTAATTCTAATTAATTACTATCTTACGTCCACATTGTTTGGCCTCCAAGATCTGATTGGAGACATTCATCTACCTTAAATAGGCGCGAGACCACCTACAAGCTTCTCCAATTCCACGTGGACACCAACAAACGGCAAATTCCAATTTGGTAACCACACTAGCAAATCATAGAAGATACAGACAGAAGAAGAGACGCCATCACCTGTCATCACTCGCTTCACGCTCTTGTGCACGCACGCACGCACTTACTTGCAAACCCATAGTTGAGACCTCACTGTCTCCTCTCCCAAGAGCCGTCGCCCGCCACCAGTCACTACGACACTGTTTTGGGCTACGGAGAGAAATGCAGAGACTCGCTGTCCCATAAAAGCGCGACATTAAGGCCCGACCTGATCGATCGTCGGAGAAAGAGAGATCTTTTTTCTTTGGGACTTTTATTAGGGTTTTAGTGATCGATGGCCTCTGAGGATGTAAAGACTAGCAAATCGGCTGTGACTACGATCGTTAATCTAGCGGAGGAGGCTAAGCTGGCTAGGGAGGGAGTGAAGGCCCCTAGCTATGCTGTTCTCAGTATCTGCAAATCTCTCGTCGCGGGTGGTGTCGCTGGTGGAGTGTAAGTCCTTCCGCCCTTCTCGGTTGTTCATAAGTAATGGTTTCGCTGCAAATTATTTTCCTATTCATTTGCATTTTCTGTTAGAGGAAGATTGAATTGTTTAGAGGAGGCCGGGTTCAATATTCTTTGTTCATTTGCTCCTTCGTAAAAAATTCGAGTTTTTTTGTTTCCAAGTAAAACGTTTGTTAATTAATGATTTATCTGCATGATTTGAAAACAGGGGAAGGAATATATTGCGGTATTCTTAGCCAAGATGGGATATTAGCCTGCAAAACTATGCTAAATTAATAATACATGAGAAAAAAAAAAAAAAACCATTTTTCTATGCTGCATTTGCGGTGTACAACCTTAGTATGCAAGTAATAAGTTGCTATGAGAAAGTTATTGTTGTTTGTTTATTGGTTCTTTGGAAGTATTATGAGTTTGATCGATTTGGTTCTCAAGAGAAGTTGAAAATTTCACATCTAAAAAATTTGAACTCGATGCATATATTTCCCTCTCTGGGTGAGAAGAATAGGCAGAGATGATATATACCATAAATCGTTTTTTTTTTTTTTTTGCTTGGTGGGGGCGAATTGTTTTATTCTCATAATAATTGAATCAGAAAATTAGAAAGTTTCTCTCTCCTGAAAAGTCTTGTATTGTTATCGAGGTTCTCTGAACACTGCATGTAATTACTAATCATTCAGGCTTATGTTTTGAGACTTTGTTGTATTTATGATGTAAGTATTCATATCTATGATATTACGGTTGAATTTTGCGTTCCTTGTATTACAATGACATATAAGGACTCATGTTACATCTCACTTTTTTTTTTTTGCTTCTATCATTTACTTTTTTAAATTTTATTTCCAGTATTATTATGTTTAGAATAGAGCTAGTCCTCTGAGTCTATTATTTTCGTGACTAAAGTGGAATGGTTGGTCTCGCACTTGAAGGTTATATTTGTTTCTGGTTTAGGAAATACCATCTAAGGTTCCTAAAGTTTTTCCCTTGAGGAATTCCCTTAAAATATTTTTGCAGCTGGCACAGTTTATGCTTCCCTATGTTACTCCTAGGATGATCTTTGACTACTGAAACATTCAAATGCTTTTTCAGGTCACGTACAACTGTTGCTCCATTGGAAAGGTTGAAGATATTACTACAGGTTAGATCATTCAAAGTTGTTATTCCATTTAATTTAGTGCATATGAATGTTTTCTTCTGTATCTATTCATATTCTGTGTTGTGCAGGTTCAAAATCCCCACAGCATAAAATACAATGGAACTATTCAAGGGTTGAGATACATATGGAGAACTGAGGGTTTTCGTGGACTATTTAAAGGCAATGGTACTAACTGTGCTCGAATAGTCCCAAACTCAGCAGTGAAGTTCTTCAGCTATGAGGAAGCTTCCAAGTATGTTTCCTAGAAAATTCTAAATTTCATTGGTTGAACAGGCATTTAATGTCTAAATCACCATCTTAGATGATTGTTGTATTTTGCTGAATGTGTTTAGTTTTGTGATGTGGGTGGAAATGCAACTTGCTGCTTATATTTAATGATAATGAGTGTGCTTTAGTCCATCATCTGCAAGAAAAATGGTGTCATCTGTTGAATTCATAATGTCACTGACATTTTTATAACCAGTAGTTATGGGGGCAAAATAAATTATTTAGATTTGATAGCTTAATTAGTAATTATAGCAGATATCTGGACGCTGAATTTCTTTTATTCATTCTGTATCATGGGTAAGTGATGTTTCTATCTTTATAAAATTGTTTTCATAGGAAGGTTTAGCTGGGTTCTTTGGTTCTATTACCATGCATGTCATCTAGGCTTGGTGCCCTTTTCTTTTCCAATCACTGGAAATCACAATCATTTGTGGTTCAAAGGTTTTAATTGATTTGGACACAGTGCACAAGTAATATCTTTGTCCTCTTCCTGATTTTTCCTGTATATTCTTATGACAGGGGAATACTGTGGCTGTATCAAAAGCAAACTGGCAATGGTATGTGATCAATTAGTTGCATTGTCATTTTGTTTTTTATTTGTTAAAAAGAAAGTTTTAGAGATATTGTAGGCACTTCTTTGCCTGGCTAGTTAATATTTTATTCAGACTGAGTGGGTTATATGGCATATATGGCACGTGATAGATACCGGTATCTGAACCATTTTGCCCTTCGGTTATTTTCCTGCAGAAGATGCTCAGCTCACTCCCCTTCTACGCCTTGGAGCTGGAGCATGTGCTGGGATAATTGCCATGTCTGCAACTTATCCTATGGATATGGTACGAGGCAGGCTAACTGTACAGGTATTTTTCTTTTAGACTTCATTTTCTTTCAGAAATGTTCTCAGAGAAAATAGTTGGATTTTGCTCCTTCCAATTTGGTTGTGCACAATAATTGTTTATCTTTATTGTTTTGTAGTCGTGGAAAAACTTATTATGGTGATATAACATATTTTTCATTTATCTTGTTCGGCAGACTGAGAAGTCACCTTATCAATACAGAGGAATGTTCCATGCTCTATCAACTGTGCTTCGGGAAGAAGGTCCACGGGCTCTGTACAAGGGCTGGCTTCCATCTGTCATAGGAGTTGTAAGTCATGCTTTCCTCAAGTTACATTGCATATGAAGTTCTCAATCTATGTGTAAAAGGAATAATTGAAAAACAAAGCAGTCTGATGACTGGTAAATATCATGATTCATATGCATGTAAGCCTCTGATTATTCTGATAATTATAGACGTCTTGTACATTTAGGTGTTTTGTCTCACAAATTAAAACATTCTCTTTGTATTTGTGTGTTTCAGATGAAAGGACATGGTAATGGTTTTTATTTTTTTGACATGGTATTTGTTTATATATTTATTTTTGTTGTAAATTTAGAAATGTTATGGAAGACTGCTACAGTGATTCATATGACTTCCTAATTGATAAATTATATATGCAACGATAACTCATTGGTCTTCTTATCATTCATTGAGAAAATGATAGTAGAACTGCTGGGATCGATATGTATATGCAGCTATGATGTGTGCTTTACCTTTGAAGGTTTATAGTTTTTGTGTTTATTGATAAACTCCATTAGTAAATTTTGCATGATCAGTGGAAAAAATAAAATTGAAAAATTGATTTTTCTTTTTAATGCTTTCCTTCCCATTTGCTTGATGATGGATCAACAGTTAATACTTCTGCTATTGTTAGTAAGTAATAACTTAACCATTCAGAATTTTTTATTTAACGTTAGGAACAAAATGGTTTTTCTATGTATGCTTCTGTATAACCTACCTGTTTTTTGCTTGCAGATCCCATATGTAGGTCTCAACTTTGCTGTGTATGAATCACTAAAGGATTGGTTGATTAAAGCTAAACCATTTGGACTAGTTGAAGATTCTGACTTAAGTGTGACTACAAGGCTTGCTTGTGGGGCTGCTGCTGGAACCGTTGGCCAAACTGTTGCTTATCCTCTTGATGTTATTCGCCGACGGATGCAGATGGTGGGATGGAAGGATGCTGCTTCCATTATCACTGGTGATGGGAGGAGCAAGGCCCCCCTCGAGTATTCAGGCATGATTGATGCATTCAGGAAAACTGTTAGGCATGAAGGCTTTGGAGCATTGTACAAGGGTTTGGTACCCAATTCTGTAAAGGTGAGTCATTATGTTTCTTGCATTTCATTGGTTAATGACTTTCAGGATTGCATATATATGATTCAAATATTTCTGTTCTTTTTTTCAGGTAGTCCCATCTATAGCAATTGCATTTGTAACATACGAGATGGTGAAGGACATTTTAGGAGTTGAGGTCAGAATATCAGATTAATTGTTACTCTTTCCTGATGCTTTTTAAACAAGTGTGCTATTTTTGTAGTCAAAAGGGAATAGGGAGAAAGGCAAACTAGGGTAATTTTCTTCCACATTTCTCTCTCCTAGTGAGTTTAAACGTGTGTTTAAGCTCGTTTTATAAAATTGTTTTTCCTACTTTGTTTCTCTGAGAACATGCTGTAGCTTTCATCAGCTTCTCATTCATGTATCAATAAGTACGTCGAGGGAACAACTCACATAATGCTATTGGATGCCTCTCCATAAGAGTTGGGATTGAGAAAAGTTACTTCAAGTCTCTACTTTGCAATAACTAGTTATTGATTGGTGCCCCTTTCTCTCTCTGTGCTTTTTTTTTTTTTTTTAATAAAGCTCGGTTTATTAAAAATTTGGTTTTCCATGACTTTGTTTCTCTGAGAATCATGCTGCTAGCTTGCATCAGGCTCTCTCATTCATGTATCAATAAGTACGTCGAGCGGGTGAAACAACTCACCATAATGCTAGATGGCCTCTCCATAAGATGTTGGATTGAGAAAGTTACTTCATAGTCTCTACTTTTGCAATATACTATTATTGCATTGGTGCCGCCTTTCTCTCTCTGTGCTTTTTGTTTTTTTTTAGAAAAAGAATTATTCTTCTGCGCGGAATGGAATGAAGTATTTTTTTTTTTTTTTTTAGAAAAAGAATTATTCTCTGGCGGAATGGAATGAAGTAAAAGAATTATATCTTGCATAAACAATCTGCTTTCTGAATATTGAAAAATTGAATTTATAAGAAAATGGGCATTGCATTGCATAAAGGTTTTGAATCAACCGCTGAACATTTATTGAGGTTGCCTGTAAAGGTGTACTTGAACGGTGGAAATCAGGACCACTCGTGCACCTGACAAGGTTTTGGTCAAAAACTTGCATAATGGATGAATTTGAGAGAGTTATTTTTGTTTGGACTTCAAACGTAATAATTCTATAAATGGAAGAATTTCAAATGAACTTTCATTTATGTGTATGGATTTACAAATAATTTCATAATATTCATTTATATTAAAGAATCAGCCAAATACATAATTTAACCTGTACGCAGGAAAAAAAAAAAAGAAAATCTTATGATTTCTTGAATTTTGGCAATAATTAAAAAAAAAAAAAATCTTATTTCTTCTTGAACTTTGAAAATTACCTCGTGGTTTTCTGAATTTCATTTCTTTTGTGTACATGGGGCTTTTGAAACAAAGTCAATCGGCGGCTCGGGCCGCAAAATCATTTCAAAGTAGATCCAGAAGTATTTTTTATTTTGGTAAAATGGTTCGAAGCCGCAAAATCATTTCAAAGTTTGGATCCATAACTTCTTTTTTTGTTTTTTGGGGCAAAATGCTCCTAGTTAAATTATTTCAGCCCCAAACAATCTCTTAAATCGTAAGACTATATCTATTATTTTTGTAAGCTATTATACAAAGTTTCTGAAGAAAGCAATAACGTAATCACAAATAAGAAAGTATAGTTTTAATATATATTTACTGTATACTATGCAATATACGTTTTAAAAAAGGCCAGTGCAAGTCTTCAAACAGCAGCTCTTTTTTTTTTTTTTTTTTTTTTTTTTTTTTTTGTTCTATTGCATGCACGATCCTATTCATCTTTTTTTTTTTTTTTTTTTTTTTTTGTTCTATTCATGGCAGCATCCTTTCATCTCTTCTTACATTTTTCTGCCATGCCTGGAATTCAAATGAAAATATCTTTGTAAAAATTCCAAATGTCAAATTAGAATTGTCATGTTAAAGGTTACAAACAGAAATAAGTATACCTGCAGTCCTTTATAATTGGTTGGATCCTATGTGCTCGTCTTCCCAGAGACTTGACATCGTGTATGTCTCGTCTTCTGGTGCTTGTTCTTGAAATGCTAGCCTTAGCTTCATGATCTTTTTTAATACTCTTTACTTCGTTCTCTCTTGAATCCATGCAATCTTCAGATGATAAAGTAACCAAGGAAAGAACTGTAATAAGAAGGTTCATCTCCCGAAGAAAATTAGGGTTTGGCTGCTCTAAAGAGTCGTCATCGTCGTCGTCGTCATCATCATCGTCATCATCACGCTCCCTCTCTTCCCTGTATTCTTTTGCTGGCTCAATTTCATTAATATTTTCTTTTGCAAGATCAGTCATCTTAGCTTATTTTACTCTGCATCAAGATTCAAGATCAACATTGCTTCGCATATAAAAATGATAATTATTAATAAAGATGGTTTTTTGATTATTGGCGCATTCGGATCATTGCCCATTGGGTGCAATGCTTCAAATTATGTGTTAAAAAGCAATATCATCGATAACTAAAAAGAAAACGAAAAGAGAAAGAAAAAAAAAAAAAATCTTACTGTGACCCAAAATCCACCATCTAATAGCAGATCGGTGATATAAATGCTAAATCAAATTTAGAATTAAAAAAATAAAAAAAAATCGAATATAAATTTTAGTTAGATATGAAAAAATCTAAAGCGAAAGCAGAAGAGAAAGGGAATATGAATGAAAAACTAACCTGGCCAGGCCACGATTGGAGTCCGATCATCCGTAACCTCTTTGTTGAGATCGTATGAGCATACTGTTCCCTATCTTATATATTGGCTGCTGTAAAAAAGAGAAGGAGGAGAAGAAAAGTCACAAAATTTTAAAATTTAAGAAGAAAAAAGAAAGGTGGGATCCCAAATTAGGTTGATAATAAAACCTCCTAGATTCCGGCGGCACAATGTTTTTTTTCCAAATTGCGGTTTTCGGTTATTTTTCTTTCTTTTTTTGGCCTTTTCCTATTCAGAATCAAAATCCAACTCAAATTGAATTGATTTTGAACTTGTTTTTGAATTGACTCAAATCAAATATCGGGAATCAAAAGCTTGGTCGAATTTCGGATTGATTCCAATTCCACGTCATCAAACTTGACGGGACTATTTGTTAGTGGGTTAATTTTCATGGACCTGGTTGGTTTCTGGGCTGAGTACGATAGCTGATCAGCATTGAGTAATCAATTTTGGTTGCTGAATGAATGAAGCATAAACTATCAATTCTCTGTTTTCTTTTAAAATACTTCTTCGTAGGATTAGGATATTACAAAAAATTAAAATATTTATGCAAATTGTAATTTAAAGAAAAAATAACAAAGCTAAAATTATATGGGATGAATTATTTGGACAAAGAGGCCCAGCCCATTAAGGGCCCTTCCCCCACGGAATCCGTGAGATGATAATCCACGACGAGCACTATGTGTCTATTTTAGGACCAATCATTTGATAGGCTAGGAGCGTGTGACTCATTGTTTACAAGTTACAACAAATATGGCACGTGTGAGCCGCGAATTACACCCTCGCGGCTCATTCCACTCCATTCATTTCTCTCCGTGATTTGGGCTCACATAGATAAAGAAAGCCACTGGCTTTTATCGAAATTACGTGAATACCATTCATTCTCCATTATCAAATTCAATGGTTTGTCAAGGCGGTTGAGGAAATTGACATGTGATTCTAATAATTGAATTAAAAAACTCTGAATTTTTATTTTATTTCAATTTATTGTTTTAAAAATAATAAAATATCTTACTCTTCCAACGCTTTTTTTTTTTTTTTTTTTTTTTTTTTTTTAAAATTTGTTTCACAGGGGGGTGAGGAAAAAATGACCATGAATTGTGATTTCTATAATGAATAAAATATACTCTTGGTCGATCGTAATTTTTAAATTTTATTTTCTCCAATTTATTGTTTTTAAATAATAAAAATATCTTTTTTATTCTTTCCCAAAACGGCTTTTTCTTTTATTTTTTTTTTTTTTTTACTTTTCTTAAAACTATTTATAGTGACACTTTTCTTTTCTTCATTGCTCTGGTTTTGTGTGCAACAGTGGGAAAGCGTAGAGCATAATTTTATTTTCTTTCCACTTGAGGAATACTATAAATTGACAACATCTAGAATTAAGAATGACCTTGCTTTCTTTCTTTCCGCTCGACACCTTACTAACTGTTTGCTTTAATAAAACTTTGACGCTTTTGTCTTCATTAAAATAAAAAACCGAAAATACAATCGTGCTGTCACATTTTGCCTGATGCTTCTATGACCTGCTCATTTCGTTTGAAGGACCGGCACTTATGTAATTTAATTTTAATTTTTTATTCTTATTCTTCGAGTAATGTTGGAGGGAACAGGGATCTTTGTTTCTATGTAATTAGGGTCAGATGTGTTTAGTTGTTTTCTTCAAAAAAAATTATTCTGTATTTTTTTTACTATTTTATTCTTATTTGTCTAGTCTCGCCTACGGCCCACAACGTGCTTGATGTATCGCACCTGCTTTTTCTGTTAAATTTTTTCTTCTTTTTCACAAATTCAAAATTTTCTTGCTTTTTCTCTGCTTTTGTCATTTCCTTGGCTCTTTTACCTTCTTCACCCTTTTTGTACTTTTCTCTTCGTCTTCATCGTTAACGAATTCTCATTCGGCTCTACTAGTCCACCATGGCTTGTACATTTGGTCTTTAAACAAAATTAGAGGAGTATAGTGAACTGGAGCGTTGTGTCTTCTGCGGCAGAAATTAGAACATTTGGCATTCACTGTTGAATGAGCTTTACTTTTTCGGCAGGGCCATTGAAGAGCAAAACGGAGGGAGAGGGAAAAGGAATAGTGATGACCTGCTGGATTTGGCTGGGAACGGGACAGGACGGCGCGAAGCTACAGCCACAACAAATGTCGATGTTGCAAATTTTCCTGCCCTGAAAATTGTGACGTAGCAGAGTAATGCTAGCAGAGAAGACCCACACATATTAATGTATTTGGGAATCCACCAATCGGTGCGCCAACGAGCCCTCGGTTTATGTCAACATCTCGATACGACAATGTGGCACCTGTGAGTTAGGTTGTGAGTGGTGGTTCTACACAATTTGATTAATAGGAGTTAAGGTGTCAATGTTATTAGGAGACTAACCACATACCCGTATTCGAGAAGGAATTTGTAAGTAGTCCATCCGTGTAATGTTCTTTCACTGGATCCTAGAACTCCTTTTCCAAGGACTTAACCTCTTAACGTCCCTGCTATTAATTCTGCTCTATATTGAATCCACCCGAGCAGAGAAACAGTGTTGCTTATCCCAATTTGTGGACCTGGTAGGGGACATGTACTAGAAAACCCTCAAGAACTTATGAGGAAACCCCTAAGATATTTTCGCTTTGTAAATCCCTTTCAGGTACATTAGACAGCCAATGAACGGCATTATAATCTGTTCTGGAAGTATATGATAACCCTTTACTTGGTTTCTAAGGACTTTAGGCTTTATCAATTAGTGTTCCTATGGTTTTTTTGGATACTATGAACAAACTGAAAGACCGTCTCTTACATGTTATTAAAGGAACTTTACTGACTAAAACTGATTTCGAAGATTGTGTATTCCTTAAGCTATGATAATCGGAGGCGTTTTTTAACATGGTAATATTAGTCTCCGTCTTAATACCTTTCAAGTCAAATTTTTCTTTAGCATGTTCTCTATAGGTTGTCATGTGAAAATAAAAGGCCATTGAAGGCGTGATGTGGGTAAGGAGACCTATCCTCCGCCCAAAAATCGGAAACGCACGCATGTGCTCCAGGTCTGATATTTCGGGAGTAGGTCTTGGTCTTGGGTACCAGGTCACTAGACACTCTATATTGCCCCAGCGAGAAACAATTTCTGGGCCGATGACCAGAGCCCGTCTCCTTTGCAGTTGAACCGATAGCTTCTGTATGGCATTGATAGAGAATCCCCAAAAACAGGTGGCCAACAGATCGTCTCGGCGACACGCACCAAGCATCTGACAAATCAGGCTTCCTTTGGCCAGTACTATCAGACATGGTTGGATGGGAATCTGTTCTTTTGAATCTTTACCACTTATGCTTGCGATGCAACTTTTGGAGATGAGTGGCATGAACTTTGGATGTCACAAGAAAAAGATAACAGTAGAAAGCTATTTATTTTTAGGGCAAATTGCTGGAGTTCCGTTTTCGGTGGGATTTATAGGCACCATCTCTAAGTGGAGTTGGCTTGCATAGAAGCTTACGGCATCTGTTTTAAATTTGTGTGCCATCCAAATTAGGATTGTCTGTATACTTGTGTTTCTTCCTGGCCAAGGGAGAGATTGAAGGCTTTTCTATATTACAGATTCATGATTCTGTATTAAGAAGAAAAGGGGGCAAATGGAAACAAGATTTGCGTGCATAATAGAGTGAACATTTTAGTGTTTGTCAGCAAACCAGCAAAAGATCAGTTGCAACATGAAGCCCGATTTTGGACATCATATCTGTCAGTTATTTGCATTTACTTAGTGACTATCAGTACCAGCGGCTATGGATGAAGTTGGACTTTATTGGCGGGGCATACTCATGGTGCAGAAGTCACTGATTATCATATTTCGCACATTCAGTTCTGGGGGGTAGCAATTTCCAGATTACCTCCAATTTCTTATTGAATAACTAGACAACGGTTTTTTCTTTCACGATGACTGATTTTACGATTTCGAAGGGAAAATAAAGTCTCGGTCGGTTACTATGATATCGCGGTCGGCGTGATATTCTGGATCCAAGCAGCGCAGCGTGGACGACAGGGCATGCTTGAATAGGAGGAAATTTTGCACTTTTCATCAAATTATTTCTACAGCCTCGGGCGGGTATTTTCGTTTTGAGAGCCGGTGACGTGTTTTTGGGGAACTCTTGAACGGTCGTATTAGAATTTATTAATCCAAGGGTATTTGCTACTTGCGGTGTCTAATCTATGTATCTTTATTCCCAATAGATTCATACTTCCGAGTTTAGAGGATTTTATCTTGTTGCCCCATTTTGGACTAAAAGTGTGATGACCATCCCATTTTAGGCGTCAGAAAACATAATGTGACACTTATAAACTTCAAGATCATTTTTGGTTGCTTTACGGCCCGTGTGTAGGAGATGTAAACTTTTCAACAAACTACAGTGTCTAATAAGAGCGTACATGACCTAATTTGTTCCTTCAGAGAATTGAACCATTATGCCATAATTTTTTGGCCAGATAAACAACAAGAAACATATGATTTCTCGTGTACCATCCATTTTATGCGAGCTAAGCTGCTAGCCTTTTTTTTTCTATATAATCTCCCTGCATGGAACTATGATTAAGGGAAATTTCCATGCAAAGAAAAAATATGACCTTAGAGGGGGGAATTAAGATAACGGGCAGGTCTAACTCCTTTTTCACTACATGGGTTTGGTTCTCCCTATGCTCCAGCCGTCGGCCATCTAATCTGTTTAGAAATCACCACTGAGGATGCCATTATTTTCTAGCTCTGTTATCGCTGGATTTGACGCACTAGAGTCTACCATCAAAAATTATTTTCTTCTGAACAATCAAGATGCTGCGTAAATGTCTGGTTGGTTTCCTCCATCACACTGTCCTGACCTGGACCCCCTTCATCCTCGTCCAAGAACACCAACCTGGTAGTTACTCCCTTGGGGTGTCTGGCCATTTTTTCCAATTATCTTGCTTGCCTTTCGTGACGTTGGGTATTTGTCTTTGGGACCATTTCCAGTAATTCCAATTGAATTTGTTTTCGACATAATCTACTATTGTTCCCAATGTTTATTATATTTGGCATGTGATTATGGTCTGGAAAAGGAAAGTTGGAAACAATTTTTCCCCAATTCCGTTTGCTCCTTTGTT